TCAACCCTCAACCCTCAGCTCTTCAGCCCTCAGCCCGAGACCCTCCCTCCAAGCTTTTTGATGGCACCTTTTCGAGACATGTCCCGACTGGTCTCCGGACGCTTGGCTCTGCTGGCGCCATGAATGCGTCACGGCCGCAATGGCGAGGGCTTCCCAATAATCGGTGTATGCTTGTAGAGGGACGGACCCCTAGAAACCCGAATTAAACCCACAAGTCGTACCCTAAACTGCGGGGCAACTTTTAGTTCCCCTCTTTTGCTTAGATTTGAGCCCTTGGAAAAACTCTTAAACCCTACTCCCTTTGAGCTCCTACCCCCAAGCCCTAGGTTTCAGGGAGCTGAGATTTTAGGACGTTTTGGGTCTGCCGACTCGCCTTCGCGAGCAACCTGCTTCGCATGGCGCTGCTCTGTGCCCACCGCTGCCTAGACCACAAGCCCTAAACCCTAAACCCCAAACCCTAAACCCCAAACCCGAAACCCGAAACCCTAAACCCTAAGCCCTCAACCCTAAACCCTAAACCCTAAACCCTACCTATAATTACCCATGGCCCATGACCGCCTTCAACACCGCCCTCTCCCCCGTTCTCGTTCGACGAAGCCCAGGAGGTGGCCGAGGAGGAGCTGGAGCCGCGCCGGCCGCGGAAGAAGGTGTCGTGCGCATGGTGCCGCTGGGCGTAAACAACCCTAAACCCTAACCCTAAACCCTAAACCCTAAACCCTAAACCCTAAACCCTAAACCCTAAACCCTAAACCCTAAACCCTAAACCCTAAACCCTAAACCCTAAACCCTAAACCCTAAACCCTAAACCCTAAACCCTAAACCCTAAACCCTAAACCCTAAACCCTAAACCCTAAACCCTAAACCCTAAACCCTAAACCCTAAACCCTAAACCCTAAACCCTAAACCCTAAACCCTAGACCCTAGACCCTAAACCCTAAACCCTAAACCCTAAACCCTAAACCCTAAACCCTAAACCCCAACCCGGAGGCCTACATCCGCAACCCCAAGGGCTTGAATCCCAAGCCCGAAAAGCCCTAACGGCCTGAAAGCCCTAACTACAGCCTACAGCCCCCTCAAAACGCCCAAAAGGGCTCAAGGCCGAAAAAGGCCCGAAATCCCCAAATCAATTTGGAATCCTAAACCCTCAGTTCTCAACCCCAAGCCCCAAACCCTATGCTCCAGCCCTGGACCCCAAAGCAGCCGCGATGCCGCCAAGGCCGCACCGCTGTGCTGGCGCTTCTGGTGCTGGTGGCGCTGACTGGCCCGGTGTGGGCGCGGGGCTCAGGGCTTAGGGTTGAGAGGTTTGGGGTTGAGAGCCTTGAGTTTTCTGTTTTTTAATCTTTATTGTGCTTCTAGAGGACAGGAGAGGGCGGGAACTGCAAGCCCGAAACGCCCTCCCAAAACCTTAAGCCCTGAGCCCGCATCAATCCTAAGCCCTAAACGCAGGGTTCCCCTAACCACCCCGCCCCCGCCCGCCTCAACCAAAAAAAACCGAAGAAACCCCAAACTCAAGGCCTTTAGCCTCGCTTCCTGCACCTCCATGCGCCCCTGCCGCATCGGCCAGCTCCTCACCATCGTGGAGGCAGTGTGGTTAGGGGTCGCTGTTTTTTCGTGTGCAGTTTGCCGAAACAGGGTCCCTTTTCGCCCTAGTGGTTTGGGGTGTCCACTGCCGCCCCCCCCCCCCCCCCCCCATGCCCAATCTAAGGCTCAGCTAAACCTTCGTGGGCTCATTCGGACCTGCTTGGGGTCAGACTAGCTAGTGTTAGAGGACGCTTTTCAGATCAGTTAAAAGGTAAAATGCTGCTGCCTGTGCTACGGCTGCCCATCGCAGCAGAAATGTTTGAAAAGCTAACGTTTAACGCACCACCCAAAAAGCGTAGGAATAGTTCCTCATGTATGATACCCACACCTGAAAAGGCTCAAATAAGAGGGGTCTTAACCATGAACACATCTCCGCCCCGAAACATATATATATATATATATATATATGTGCATATATATATATATATATATACATACACACAACATAAGAATCAAACGCAACAAAACGAACAACGCTCACACTGCTAGCCTACAGTCGCTGTACAGCTAAGGCCCTAAACCTTAGCCCCTAAACCCTGAACCCTAAACCCTAAACCCTGAACCTTAAACCCTAAACCCCTGCTTGGGTTTGAGGTAATATGGGGGAGACGGCTGCTTCCGCCCGTCCAGGCATCCTGCGCAGAGGGTGCGGGCGCGCGATCCCAGGACGTCCACGTTGGGAGGTTCATGGAAAATTCGTTTTTGGGGGGGAAGGGGGTAAGGTTTTAGGGTTTAGGGTTTAGGGTTTACGGTTTGGTTTAGGTGGGTTGGTTCGGGCCTCCCTGTCCCAGACAACCTACTGAAAGCTAACCCGAAGCCCGATACCCAAAACCCTAAGCCGACCTATAGTTATCTCCGGCCAAGTCCTGCAAGTGGGTCAACGCCGGTTCTGAGGGAATCAGAGGAGGGGGAGGCACCTGATCATCTCCCCTAGATCCCCAAAAGAAGCCTGTACGGGGCTATGTAGGGAAAAGCATCTCGGCTCGACACCATGGAGTGTGCTGTTTGTGCTGTCGTTTTCCTGTGTGTTAATGGGCTGCAGGTGCAACCAGGCCCTGTTGAACAGGGCCAGGGCGGACGCTTTAGTGCCTTGCATGCCATGGATGATACATTGGCCTGACCAGGTTTTTCTTTCTCCTCCCCTTTTTTCTTCTCTCTCTCTCTCTCCCTTCTGCGCTTCTCCCCATCTTTCTCACTTCCTTTTGATTGCAGCACAGCCTTATCCTTTTCAGCCTATGCACACGGACTTCAAACACAAGACCTGACAGGCCAAAAAGGATTGATGACATTGCATCTCTGACAGAGTGGTCTGCCCTGATCTTAGTCCCGTGGCAAAAACGATGCCGTACACATCCCCTCTGAGTCGAGATGTTCGCGTGTCCGCGAAAGACACTCTTACGTGTGGTTTCTCTCCGCGGTACCAGTAGCTCATGCGCAGGGAAAAACGACGCTGCATTTTGCCTTTCGCTGAATCAGTTGCCTCGATGCAGTGGCGAGTTTCTCTTCGCTTCCTGCGCACATATCCTCCCTGACGCCTAATGATACGTGTGCTTCTACTTGCGGAAGGAGCAGTGGGAGCAGTGGGTGTGCTGCAAGTGCAAGTCCAAGTGCGCACTCCGAGGTTTCCCTTGTCAGTCACTAGGCCTCTAGAGGCAAGTGGCTTGTACAGCTCCTTCTTCACCCTTTCTCTTTTCTCTTCTCAGTGTTTACAGTTTCTGGACCCGGGTCGTTTCTGTTTTTCGGTCTCTGCTGCCACCGAGGAGCCGTCCTGCATTGTAGGATGTAGCTTAGCTGACTCGGAGCTGCGTCTCAAAGTCACTGTGTAGGGAACCTGATTCCCAAACCCAAGCCAAACCCTAAACCCTAAACCCTAAACCCTCTCCCCCCCAAAAAAGTTTTAATTCCTCCGCTCGCCCTTCCGATCCCAATTTCAGGAGCTGCTCCACGGCGAGATGTGCACGTTGGTCTGCCGCCCTGCTGCACTTTGGAGGGGTTCATCAAGGGCCTCAAGGAGGGGACCTGGGGGGTTACTCAGGTCTATAGAGGGGTTATTTAGGGGAACAAGTTGCAGGGTCCCTTCTGGGTGTCCCTCCTTTTTCCCCTTCGGTTCAGGAGTTTCGAGAGGTTCTGGAGTTTGAGGGGTTCAGGAGTTTGAGGGGTCGTGGGGTTTCAGGGTTTAGGGTGAGGGATTCTGGAGTTTCAGTATTCAGGGGCCAATTCGGGGTTCAGGGTTCCAGGTGCTGAGGGTGTAGGGATTCTCCCAGAGGTCGTACCGAGCTATGCCCCTGCAGGGGCCTGTAGATCCAGGATCAAACATCGAGGGTTTAGGGTTCCCAGGGGTTTAGGGTTCTTAAGATGCTTTGAGGGTATCTTGAGGGTATCTTCGATGTTATGTGCCGAGTAGACTACGTGCTCCATGGATGTGCGCTTGAGACGGCCCGTGTATTCCAGGCAGGCGCAGCGCCTTGCACGCCAAGCAACAAGAACGCCGACCCCCTAAACTCGAAACCCTTGAAACTACTCAGCTACTGTCAAGAGACCCTAGCCAGCCCGGCCCTCAAGAGCACAGTCTAAACCCTAATTAATCCGAAACCCTAAGCCCCAGATCCTAGACCCTAGACCCCGAATCCACTCCCCTCAAGGACCCCCTCCATCCTACTTTTCGCTTCGAGGCGACGATCCCAACAAAGTGCCAACAATCCCCGCGATGCAGTGTGGCGTGGCCACTTTTGGGGGTCCCTAAACCCTAAACACTAAACCCTAAACACTAAACCCCAAAAACCAAACCCTAAAAAGTCGGGATGAGGGCCCTAAACCCGCAACCCCAAGCGGCTATTGGGGGCCTAGCTTGGAGTGAATCCCGAGAACAAAAAAACAAGGGTTTAGGGTTTAGGGTGTGCTGCTGGGAGCTTAGTTGAATGGTGGCTCCCGGTTTAGAAGTAAACGCTAGATTCCGCACCCAGTTGAAAGTTGTGGGGGTTAGGGTAGTTAAATCTGGAGTCATAAATGGGATAGCTAATAGTCAGAATAGGTTATAGCTGTCTCGTGGGCCTCCTTATAGCCCTAAACCCTAACCCCGGAACCCTAAACCCTAAACCCTAAACCCTAAACCCTAAACCGTATGACTGCCCAGGAAACGTTCGCAAAGTACAGAACAAATCCAATCGGAAGGGCGCAGCTGCCTCTCGAACCCTCAACCCGAAGAAGCCCCCAAATCCCTGAACCCCCCCTCCCCCCCCCCTAGCCCCGCAACACCAACAGATCCTTATGAGCCTTAACCCTACACCCCCTAAAAGGTCCCTGAAAACCGAAGAAGCCTTAACAGCACCCCTCTCAAAAGCCTCGAAAGGCCCCGGAAATCCTCGAGATCCCCCGAGATGCCCTGCATCCCAGGCCTCGACGGCGTGGCCAACAGCTCCATGGCCATCCAGTGCGTGCTGCCGAAAGCGCCGCCGAGCGCCGCGGCTGCTTTTTGAGGGTTTCGGGGCTTTGGTGTTTTTTTTTTGGAGGGGGGGGGGGGGGAGGGATTCTAGGGGTTGTAGGGGTTTTAGGAGTTTAGGGTTTGGAGTTTAGGCGTTCAGGGGTTTTTGGGGTTTGCGGGTTTTAAGGGTGTCGGCGAATTGGCCTAAGCCTTGTAAAGGCCCCAAGCATTGTCGGCCCGAAGCCTTGCAATCTCTCGGGTTTAGGGTTTAGGGTTTAGGGTTTAGGATTCTTCTAGCACCCCAAAATTCGAAGGGCCTCGCTGATTTTGGGGAGTTTGTTTGGGGAGCCTTCCCATCAGACCCGGAGCCCTCGACCCGCAAGATGACAGCAAAGGCGGAGGCATAGAGTCCCCAAACTCTGTTTCTTCTAATGACTAGGATGCCCAGTAGTACCCTTATTCCCTTTTTGGGAGGGGTTTAGGTTCCCTGATAAGCCCCTTTAAGCAAAAAAAGGGCACCCTTTTTAAGCCTTGGTTACTGGGCAGCCTAGAATGGGGTGTTAATAAGATTTAGGGTTGAGGGTTTGTGATAGTTGTGTAAGGTGCCCGCAAACCCTAAGCCCTCAACCCGAAACCCCAGGCCCCTAAACCCTCAAGCCCTGCAACTTCAAATTATTCAAAATTATTCAAAAGTCAAAGAAGGACACTTTCCCCGAAACTCCCCGAAACTTTTCCCGAACCTGAACCCTGATTCAATCAACCCTAAACTTGGGATGTTCCTCTTGATACTAACAGTCCATAATAGGGATTTGTATAGGGGGTTACTTCTGAAGGACTGCTAGTTTATTTGGCAACATCCCGACCCTAAAACCCCCATAGCCAGGGTCCGACGCCCTTGTGCAAGCACCCCTAAACCCAAAACCCAAAACCCAAAACCCAAAACCCAAAACCCAAAACCCAAAACCCAAAACCCTAAACCCTAAACCCTAAACCCTAAACCCTAGACCCTAAACCCTAAACCCTAAACCCTAAACCCTTCGGGAGTCCGATGGGATCCTGCCCCAGGCGGGATGCCGACTGAGCCAGAGCTGGCGTCGCGGCGCGGCCGCGCTCTAAAGGTCCGAAGGGTTCAGGGTTTAGGGTTTAGGGTTTAGGGTTCAGGGTTTAGGGTTTAGGGTTTAGGGTTTAGTTGCATGACGCGTGTAGGGGTTTTCGGCCTGTTTGCATTGCTGTTGTGGGTGGGCGTATGTCCCTAAAACCCTAAACCCTAACCCCCCTAAACCTTAAAACCCCAAAACCCCTAAGACCCCAAAACCCTAAACCCTAACCTAAACCCTAAAACCCTAAACCCCAAACCCCTAAATCCCCGAAAACCCCACCCCTGAAGCCCCCCAAAACATCCAAGGAACGCCATCACCGTGGGCGACGCGCGGCTCGTGTGCGAGCAAGCACAGGACTTCATCTGCGAGGCAGGGCTTCTTGGGTTTAGGGTTTAGGGTTTAGGGTTTCGGGCTTCTTAGGTTTAGGGCTTAGGGTTTAGGGTTTAGGGCTTCGTGGGGGTTTAGGGTTTAGGGCTGTTTGGGTTTAGGGCTTGGGGTTTAGGTTTTAGGGTTTGGGGTTTAGTGTTTGGGTTTAGGGTTCATTTTGGGACTTGGGGGAAGCGAGATGTTGGGGATTTGTTCAGGATGTGTTTGTCTCGTTTAGGGGCCTGAAAAACAAACCTTCCTTGTTTGGGATCTTTTGGAAGCCGCTTTTTTGAGGCCGCTGGGGGGTTTCAGGGTTGTGGGCTTCTTCGGCTTCTCAGGGTTTTTTTGGGTTTCCAATCGGCATTGAGGGTTCTGAGGGTTCTTGGGGTCTTGTGGCTTGGGGAGCTCGTTGGGGTTGTGCTGGCGGCTTCTGAGGTTTCCTTGGGCTTAGGGTTTAGTTCTTGTTTTTCATTTGCGTTTTGTTTCCCTCTGTTTCTTGCTCTCATTCTGTCGCTCTCTATCTCTCTAAGCTGTGCCTATGCCTTGGCCCTTGCCTCTGCCACTGTCTCTGTCTCTCTGTGTGTGCGTGGGTGTGTGTGTGTGTGTGTGTGTGTGTGTGTGTGTGTGTGTGTGTGTGTGTGTGTGTGTGTGTGTGTGTGTGTGTGTGTGTGTGGGTGTGGGTGTGGGTGTGGGTGTGTGTGTGTGTGTGTGTCTCTCTCTCTTTCTGTCTCTCTCTCTCTCTCTCTCTCTTTTTTTCATTTATTATTATTATTATTATTATTATTATTATTATTATTATTATTATTATTATTATTATATTATATTATATGTTTTTTTTTTTCTCTCTCTCTCTCTCTCTTTCTAGGAGCTTGGCAGCTGCAACTTCAAGCTGCAAGCTCAAGATTCCCTGAGACTGTAGCGACGGTATAGGCTCTGGGCCTACTTAGAAGCAAGCACCCCAGGAACCTCCAGGCAGGAGCTACCGCGTAGGCAAAGTTGCCCTGAAGGCCTCGGCGGGCGCCACCTCGATCTTGATTCAGCCTCCTGGCCTTGTTCAGGCTTCGGGTTTAGGCTTCAAGGTTGAGGGGCTAGTTGCACGAAGCGTTGAGGGTTCAAGGGTTTTCGGGCTTTAGGGTTGAGGGAGCAAGAAGGGGTAGGGCAGGGCCGAAGAGGGAGGCAAGAGGTGTTGGGAGGTTACCGCTTAGCCGCCGTTGTTGCTGAGAGACTTCTGATAGCCCTAAAAGCCTCAAGGCCCTGCTTGAAGGTTCAGGAGCGCTTCAGGAAGGGTTGCTATGCAAAGCCGTACCAGGCAATCTCAAACCTTAAACCCCAAACCCAAAGCCCTAGCTAAGGCGTCTAGAGCCCTGCTTACAATACCTCCCATGGCCGAGTGGCAAAACCCCAAACTCTTTGAGGGTTTCGGGCTCTGGGTTGAGGGCCAAAGGGTTGTTCTTTGGGCTTGCTAAATGTGGCAGCTGAACTTCAGCCACCCCGTTTACACTTGTAGTTCCATGAACCTCCACGTAGGCCCTGAAGCCAAAACCTTCGAATCAGCCGCACTTCCCCCCGCCCCCCCAGCTGCATCCCACCAACCTCCAAGTAGGCCTTAAACCCTAAGCCCGAACAAAGCCGTGAGCCCTCAGCGATGCCTAAACCCTAAACCCTAAACCCCAAACCCCAAACCCCAAACCCCAAACCCCAAACCCTAGACCCTAATCCCGACACCTTCGCAACCTTGAGCCGGGCAAGGTTGAGCAGCCTCACCAAAGACAAGTGCCGCTCGGACTGCAGGGCTCTCTTGGGATGGGCCTTTAAGGGCTCCCCAAACCTTAAACCCGACCTATGGGGAATTAGGGTTTGGGGCCTTGGGGTCGAGGGTTTAGGTTTTGGGGTTTAGGGTTTAGGGTTTAGGGCTTGAGGGTTTAGGGTTTTGGGGCTCAGGGGCTACTTGGAGGTTCATGGGTGATTGCAGCTGGGCTAAAGGAAAAGTGGCGAAGCCCCAAGCCGAAGCCCCCAAGCCCTAAACCCTGAACAATGGGTATTTCGCAACCTTGCCTTTAGCTAGCCGTGAGTCAAATGTACCCTCAACACCAACGCCTAAATCCCAAACGGCACTTTTTCAACCCCAAACTCAATTTTTCCTAGGAAAGCACTGGGCCCCAAACCTAAAATTCTCTAAGCCAACCCAAAGCCCCCAAACCCTCCAACCCCTAAATGCCCCAAAACACTAGAACCCCCCCCCCCCCCTAAACGCACTAAAAGGCCTAAAGCCCTCGAAAGCCTTGGCCTCAGAACCCTCCAACTAAGCCCCCCAAGCCCAGGCGACGATGTCTTCCTAGAGTGCCGCGAGCTGAACCCAGTGCTGCTCGGCCGGATGTTTGGGGCTTCTGGGCTTTGGGCCCTAACACCCTAAAACCCTCAAACCCAAAAACCCTAAACCCTAAGCCCTAAGCCCCTAAGGGCTAAAACCTAAGCCCAAGACCGAAGCTTGAAAGCAGGCTGGGAATGGGCAGAACCGTGACTCGGGCCCCTTTGGGTATTCCAAACTACGAGGGGTTTTCCCTGCAATCGAGCAATACCTGAAAGGAGGCCCACAATTCAGGTAGTGGCCACCCGCAGTTGAAAGTTTCGAAAGTCTGCCTGGTGCGGAACGACGCCCCCGAAGGCTCATGGGCCCATGAAAACCCCCCCCCCCAAACCTCTCATGCCTGCGCACCGCCCAGGTTTACCTTCCAGGAGTTCGTGCCTCTGCGGCTTTTACTTCGTTGTGGGGCTATTGTGGTTCAGGTTGGGGCGCTTTTGTTTGGGGGGCTTCTTAGGGCGTAGGAAATCATGGCTTCAGTGCTGGCTGTTGGCGAACAAAGGCCCGAGGGAGGGATTTCATGCGTGTAGGGCTTCAGGGTTGCTGGTTTTGGGGTTTACTGGAAGGCTTGTTGGTAGGTATCAGTTGGGTTGTAAGAACCCCAAACAAGTTTTTGTACTGATGACGACAGACCTGTACATGCTGCACTCGATTTCACATCCATTCCTTCAAATGTGTGATACGTACAACATATGTATCTTCAACGGCAGTATTGTGTTGTTGGTGTTGGTCCAACTGAGCCAACGGTTACACCCAGGCCGGGTGCATGTCTTCCTTCAAACAGCATACTTCCTGAATAGCTTGATGGCCATGAAGCTGTTTTGTATGGGGTTTGCAATCATCATCATTCCAAGTTTGACAATCATGTATACACAGAATTTTACCCCAAACCCCTGAACCTGCCATTCACTGTTTCAACTACTGCTGAAGAGTTTAAATTCGGGTTTAGGGTTGAGGGTTTGTAGGGTTTGGGGTCTAGGGTTGAAGCAACATCTTTTCCAGAGGCGGGCGAGGATCCCCCGCAAGGAGCCCTCTGGAATCTTCTACTGAAAGCCCGCCCGCAGGTTGCCCTTTTTTAGGGATTCTGGGAGTCCCGAAGAACCCTCTTAAGCGCGAAGCCCTGGCTGTCGCCGAGTCGCTTGAAGAGCTTGTACTTCCTCAAGCCCCCAAAGCACTTGAAGCCCCTCAAGCCCTTGTAAAACCTTTTTAGAACCCTGGACGAAAGCCTTCCAAGGTGCCTAAAACCCCTACACCCCACACATAATTCCCAAACCCCTTTGAACATCTTGAGGCCCTTTTTTGAACCCTTTGGTTGAACCCTCTTGCATTCCTGCCGTACCCTTTTGAATCCTCTTGAACACTCTTGAACCCTCTTGAACCCTTTTGTAACCCTTTTGGTTGCCACCCTGTCGTAAGCCCCCCCTTCCCGCCTCCCGCCTGACAAGTCCCCCTCAAACCCTCCACAAGGTGCGGAGCCCCCAGGCCCTGGCCTACGAGGCGGCTGCCCGGCTCACGGGGTGGATGGTGGCCGTGTGAAGGGGACTTGGGGGGAGTTTAGGGTCTAGGGTTTAGGGTTCAGGTTTAGGGGGCGGGGGGGAGGGGTGGGGTTGGGGGGGTTTTGGGGGGAATTTTTTTTTGGGGGCGGGGGGGGGGGGGGGGGGTGAGCGGGGTGGGTTTGGGGGTTTTGGGGCATTTTGGGGCTTTGCGGGGACTTTGGGGCTTCGGGGGGTTTCGGGGTTGAAGGGTTGGGGGGATGAATTGGGCGAGGAGTTTCTGGTTTTGGGGTTTGGCTGTTCAGGGCTTGGGGATTGGGGGTTCGGTTTCATGTTTTTGGGGAGGGCGCTGGGTCAGGGTTCACGAATTAGGATTTGGGGTTTCGCGTGGCGATGGCGTTTTTTGTTTTTTGAAGGGGTTTCCGTCTGAGGCATTTACTTGCATTGAGACCGATCGACTGAGTCAGCATCCGAGGGATTCTTGCATCTTTTTGCAGTGTAAGCTTGGGATGCCTTTAAGTCAGTTTTTTTCCAGGGGTCTAAGAAACCTTGACGAGCAGACGAGCATTACGTTACCCTGAAACCCGACACCTAAAAACCCACCAAAGCTGAGGGTTTAGGTTTTCAGGCTTCTTTGGTCTTGAGGCTTAGGGTTGAGGAGGGAGTTGCCAGCCTCCGGTTTCAGGGTGACCAGGGCAAGGTCAGCAGTAGAGCCCCTTTTTGTCGGCCCCACAGACAAGCAAGAATTTAGGGAAACAGCTTTCTGACGCTCTAAACCCTAAGAGTGTCCCGCATTCAAGGATCCCACGAACGTCACCCTCTTCGAAGCTTACGTGGCTTCCTCAGCTCCCGATCTCTGAGGCCCTTCACTCCGTGACCCTTTCGACCCCAAACCTCATACTGCCCCCGGCACCTTCACCACCCGTCTAAGGAGCATGAGGCCCAAGTAACCCCTAAAATCATCCATTTCCGATGTACCAAACCCCGGGGTCGGGGCTTCGGGTTTTGGGGTTGTGCAAGAAACCTAGCACCCTAACGCATAACCCAAAAACCCCGAAATCCCTACACCTACCTGCTCCTCAGCACCAGTCTCTGTGACCATGGCTGTTATCTACGTTGTCAACTCGGCGAGGTCCCTGTTTCCAGGGTAAAGCATGCCCCATGTGTCCCAAGGTGGCTCTACGGTGTGTTAGTTCAAGTAAGCTGAGTTGTGTTTGCACCGGCATATAAACGGGCAAGATAGGAGGACCTGTGCGTCTTGGTGCCTTGCAGGCACACGTTCCACAGCGACCAATGGCTGGCATGGAAAGGGATGACGAATTGTGTTCTCTTTACGGGTTGATGGGTTGATGACGTTCGGGATATGCCGGCAATCGTCTGCAGGAAGTGCCAGGTGCTCCACCGGTGAAATTTCGAGGAAATAGTTCGGCAGGAAGCGCCGTGAAGCTTGCGCCTTCTCCAAACTCTTCAGCGTTTGGCGTCTAGGCAGATCTCTGCAATGGTTGTTTGTCAACAGAAACCCTCATCCCGGGCTTCGGGCTTTGTTGTTCTTGTTGCTTTTTGCCGCCAAGACTGTCCCGAAAAAAGCCCCAGACCCCAAACCTCCCCTCCCTTGGGGACTAAATGAAACATAAAAGGGTTCATGGTTCATATACCTTCATAGGAATTATAGCAGTCAGGGTATGAGACCGCAGTTTTAGGGTTCATTAACTTAAACCTCCCCCTTCAACCTTGAGCCTTCTCACCGTAAGACCCGAAGCGTCAAGCGCCCAGTTAGACAACCCGGGCACCTGCACCCTGGGCTGCTTCACAGACTCGCAGCCGCACGAGGGGTTAAGGGTCCAGGGTTTAGGGTTTGGGGTCTCAAGGGTTTAAGCTTTCGGGTTTAGGGTTCGCAGGTGGTTTTAGGAATTTAGGGTCTGGGGTTTATCGTTCGGGTTTAGGCTGGGCTTTTAGGGTTTCAGGGTTTGGGGCTTTCAGATTTAGGACTAGGGGGTTTCAGTGGCTAATTTTGGGTTTTGGGGCCATGTCTTGGATGTTGGCTTCGAGTCTTAGGGTTCAGGGTTTTTAGGAATACCAGTAGAGTCTTGCAGGGTTATGGAGGGCTTGGAGGAAGGAAAACCCTGAACACTGAACCCCACTGGAGTGGGCCCATGGGATATTTCATATTTTCCCTGTGGTTAGTCACTGACAACCCTAAAGCCGAAAGGATCGTGTTCAGGTATATTTTGCAGAGGGTTTAGACGGCCAACCTGCTACAAAGGCCCCACCCCTTGCAGCATGCTAGATCTTTCTCCCAAGCCCGACGCTGGGTTGATGTCAAAAGGCCATGCCTCCGCCGAAAAGGTACTCCTGCCCAGTCCCCTCCCTTCGTTGTGTGGGTGCAGTCGTACTGTAACCTTGAAGTTCCTAAGCCCTAAAACCCCTAAACCCCTTATTCAGAAGTAGTGGGAATTTTCGAGAGTATTGGGTGGCTCACCTTCCTTCCTCGGGCCTCCCTCCCTTAAGAACTTCAACCTCAAAACCCTACAAGGGTTTCAGGGTTCAGGGGTAACCCTAAAAAACCTGAGAGTATAAGCCCCTGAGAAGCCCTTAAAGCGCATTTTAGAAGCTCTCTCGTCACCCAGGAGCTCTTCAGCATGAATCAGCTGCAAACCATGCAGAGCGAGCTCGCTGCGGCGACGGTGTCGGCGCCGACTGGAGTGCTGCCCGGCTTGGCCTTCAGGTTTGCCTCTGCTTTACATATGGTCAGTTCTCTTGAACTCTCGTCCTTTTTGGGGGTTACCACTATACGGCGGCCCCTAATATCTAGATTACCCCGAAAGGGACAATAATTTTTGAGAAATGGCCACATATGCCAAGAGCTTAGGGAAGTGTAAGGTTTGGGGCCCAAAGGGTCTGTTAGATTGGTTGCATGTTGACGTACACATGGGCCAGATTTTTTCTCGTACGTCGTGAAGGCAAGATGCAATTGCATGCTGTAGAAGATGCATGCTTTAGAAAAATCACTTGTGTTCTGGTTTGATAAGAAACCCTTTATAAGCATGGTTTAGGTGTCAGGGTTAAGCACACCAAGGCTCTAAACACCCTGAACCTTAAACTCTGAAACCCTAAACCCCGAAGCGCCTGCAGGTTGTGCTTCTTTGGGCATCTCAGAATCACATGAAGCCTAAGCATGCCTGGACACTACGACGGTCTTCACAGAAGGTGAGGTATTCATACAGTCCTTAATTGAGAGGATTTGGGCTCTCTGGGTGGTTTGCGGGGCAAGGGGCGAAACTCAAGGCCCTAACACCTTAAAGCCCTAAAGCTTAGAGCCGCAAACCCAAAGCCCTAAACTCTAAGCCCGCAAACCTTACCTGCTGGTCTGGTTATTACGGTAGCCTGAATTACCAAGACTACCTCTTAGCCCTTATAGAAGAACACCATGAAGTACCCAACCTATAAATCCTCAACCCTAAGCCCTGGACCCAAAACCTTCAACCCTAAACCATCTCCAACCCCGAACCTTGAAAAACTCTAATCTTGTTCTCCTTGACAGTCCCGCAGCGGTGATTCGTGGGTTTTTGCTGGACGCTTCACGGGTCGCCCAGAGCCCTTAGGTCTTTTTGGATTTTGGGGGTTTTGGAGTGTCGGGTTGGGGGGTGCAAGGCTGAGGGTTTGTCTTTTCGGGCTTAGGGTCCCCCAATTCTCACCTTCCTCTTTTATTTACCCGTCGGAACACCTGCTGATGGCAAGTTCTCAGCTGCCACGCGCGTGGCTACAGTCACGTTCCTCATGATGACGTCACTTCTGACAACATGCCGAGCCGTGACCTCCTTGGCAAGCATGGTAGCAACGACGCCGGACTCGCTAGAGGCCGAGAGCTCTAAACCCTGCAGCCCGGCAATCCTCAAGAACCTAGCCCCCCTGCGACCCGATAACCCTGAAGCCCCAAGCCTTCAAATCCCTCGGAGCCTTCAGGTTTCAGATGAATGACGGCCAGTTTGACACGCAGAACTTCTGCGGCGACAATGCAGGCTTTGGGGGGGGGGGGGGGGGGGGGGGGGCGGAGGGTTTTGGGTTTCAGGGTTTCAGGGTTTAGGAATTCAGGGTTTTTGGGGGTCAAGGGTCTACAGGGTGTTTTGCGTGTTGAGGTTTAGGGCGTTAGAGGCGTGGGACTTTAGGGTGCTCGGGTTCCGGGTTCAGAGAGCTAGGGGATTGCTCTATTCGCGTTCTAGGGTTTGGGGGCTTGAAGGCTTCAAGGCTTTGGGGTTTCATGCGATGAGCAGGAGAGTTGCGACGCACCTCAATGTTTCAGGGGATTAAGACTCCTACCCCTAAGGTTGTACCCCCCCTTAATATGCTCCGAAGATGGCCCGTAGGCGATCCTTTAAAAAGGGGAACCCAAACCCAAGGGTACAACCTTAGGGGTGCGAGGCAGAGTCCCATGAGTGCTTAGGGCTGAGGAGTTTAGGGTCTATAGGGTTTAGGGTTTAGGGTTCAGCCCTCCCTGAGCCCTCATATCTCCTCCGGAGCTTGGGTTGGCGTGCTTTGCATCATGGGGCTGTTTAGGGGTTGTGCGGGCTTTTGGGGTCTTGTTTGGGTGTTCTCTTTTGGGTTTAGGGTTTGGCGTTTGGGGTTTAGGGTTTTGGGGTTGCTTCTTCGGGCTTTGGGGCTGTAGGGCTCTGTTCGGTCATAGGGTTTTAGGAGTTGGGGTGGTGTTCTTCTTGGGCCTGGGGGTGGGGGGGTCTTTTTTAGGGTTGCTGCGGTGTTTGGGGTTCAGGCGCTAAACCCGGACCCTAAATCCGAAACCCGAGTCCCTAAACCCCCAAAAGCAGGGCTTCAGGGCTCGGGGATCGGAACCTGTGGGTCGCGGCTTTGGGGGCATGCCTGACAGTCTTGTCAAGCCCTGAAGGCCCAGCATGCATCCGCACGCGAGGGCTGTGCAACACGATGCAGGAGGGGACCCCTAAACCCCAAACCCCAAACCCTAAAACCTAAACCCTAAACCCTAAACCCCAAATCTAAACCCTAAACCCTAAACCCTAAACCCTAAACCCTAACCCTACCCTAAACCCTAAACCCTAAACCCTAAACCCTAAACCCTAAACCCTAAACCCTGAACCCTAAACCCTAAACCCTAAACCCTGAACCCTGAACCCTGAACCCTTAAACCCTAAATCCTAAACCCTAGGCCCTAAACCCTCAACAACCTAAACTTTAAACCCCTTGATGGTGGGTTGTACTAGGTTGAAAAAGCCCTGCTCCCCAAGCTTCCTTCGAGGGTTTGAACCCGAAACCCCAAACCCAAACCCAGAGGCCCCCTCATACCCCCTCCCCCCCCCCACCCCCGCCTGTGCTACTAACTTTGGAGAGCACCAGTAAACCTAAACCATCCTTCCCACACCCCACCATCCTTCCCACACCCCCGCCCCCCGCCCCCTCCCACCCCTCTCGGGTGGGGGGTGAGGGTAGGGCTATAATAATGCAAGCAACAGCTCTTATCCTTACTATCTTGCCTTGTGTTGCTCCATATGTTGTCCTGCAACCCGGAAGCCTCACAGCCCTCATATCACGAATTTACGTGTTTAGGGAGTATGGAGGGATGCTTAGTTTCAGGGTTTGGGGAAAGCTCTGTATTGGGGGGTGGCGGGGCTCCAAGTAGGTCACGGGTTAGAACTACGAGTCACTCCATCCCAAGCCCGAGGCCCTTCATGAGCCCAGAAGCCCCTCTGGGCAGATTTACAACCCTAAACCCTAAACCCTAAACCCTAAACCCTAAACCCTAAACCCTAAACCCTAAACCCTAAACCCTAAACCCTACACCCTACACCCTACACCCAAAACCCTTGTACAGCCCTAAAGCCCCTCAAAGCGCAGGATGGGGACTTCTACAAGCATCCCACCTGCGCCTCTGGGCAGGCTCAGTGGTCCAGGAGCCCTGGCTTGCTTTAGAGGGGGAGTAGGGGTTTAGGGTTTAGGGTTTAGGGTTTAGGGTTTAGGGTTTAGGGTTTAGGGTTTGGCTTTAAGGGTTCGGGTTTAGGGCCTGGGGCTTCAAGGAAGATGAAGTCTCAACGCTTATTGAGGTTTCAGGGGTTTAGGGTTTAGGGGTCAAGGAAGGGGGGATTGAAGGTTCAGGGTTGAGGGTTCAAGGAAGTCATGTGTAGGGATAAGCCGTGGGACTTTGGGGGTTTAGAGTTTTGCTTTAGATCTTAGGGGTTTAGGGTATTTATAGGGCTCAAGGGGTTCAAAGGGTTTAGGAGTCCAGGGTCTCGTGTTTTAGGAGGCAGGGCCAGATTTGGGGGTCTGCGGCTTCGGTGGTTCAGGCTACAAGGAGGATTGAGATGATTTAGGGTTTTAGGCATTTTGCGTGCAATGGTTTAGGTTTCGGCTTTGGCAGATTTAAGGGTTCAGGGTCAAGGGCTTGAGCATCACGAGCACCTGCTGGGTGCGTGGCGCTGGCGAGCATCATGAGCATGAGCTGGGTGTGTGCCAGGGTCCCAGTGCTGTGGCATGTCCTCGAGGGAGGGGCCAGCCGTGGCCAGCACCATGTGAAGCTTTTCTAACCCTAAACCCTAAGCCCTAAGCCCTAAGCCCTAAACCCTAAACCCTAAACCCTAAACCCTAAACCCTAAAACCCTAAAACCCTAAAACCCTAAAACCCTAAACCCTAAACCTGAACCCTAAACCCTAAACCCTAAGCAATATTCTCAGAAGCTCTGTGCGGTGGCTGATGCCGAGGATCGATGAGTCTCTTCGCATCCGGTACGATGGTGACGAGACGAGGGGCCAGGCAAGCCATGCTCCACCCCCACTCTCAAGTTTTTGAGAATATTGCTTAGGGTTTAGGGTTTCGGGTTTAGGGCTTAGGGTTTAGGGTTTAGGGTTTAGGGTTACCAACTTTGAAACCCTCATCCCCGAACCCTAATTTTAACGCTACGCGACCCGCCTCGGCCCGGCCCAGCGCATCCGCGTGAGCATGGTGATTCCGCAGCGCCCAAGTCGCTGGACCCCAAGCAATAAGGGTTGGGTTTAGGGTTTAGGGTTTAGGGTTTAGGGTTTAGGGTTCCGGGTTTATGGTTTATGGTTTAGTTTAGGATTGAGGGCTTAGGGCTCAAGGTTCACGCTTTGGGGTTTAGGGTTTTCTTGGGAGTAGGGTTCAAGACGGTTCGGCTTGGATTGATCGTAGGGTTGAGCCAGGCGGCTCAGGGGCGTAGGGGGGGAGGGGGGCGGTTGAGTGCTTCAGGTTTAAGATGTAAGGCTTTAAGCTCAGACCCGCTCACCAACTGCAGTGGTGGGGGGGGGGGGGGGGGGGGGGGGGGGGGGGGGGGGGGGGGGGGGGGGGGGGGGGGGGGGGGGGGGGGGGGGGGGGGGGGGGGGGCGCAACAGCGGGGGCCCTGCTGGGAGGGGCTTCAACTGCCTCTGGTCCTGGCGAACCGTCCGCTTGCGGACCCCGGTTTCCCAGGGGGGTACCCATTTGAGGCCAAAAAAAGGGGTCCGAAAAGGGGAAAGGATTTGGAGGGGGGTGCCTGTTCTGACAACCTATACACCTCCGGCCCGAGGCCTCGGCGGATTACAAAACATCCCTGAGAGGATGTTTCAGCACTTTCTGTCTCTTTTTGAGAAGTGGGCCGGGCCTAACCCCAAATGCGCCTTCCCAATATGCACCTAAAGGCTCTTCAGCCCTAAAAACCCGATAACCCCATAAACCCTATAAACCCTATACGCCCTATAAACCCTAAACTCTAATCCCTAAATCCTAAACCCCAAACCCTGAAACCCTAAACCCCAAACCCTAAACCCCAAACCCCAAACCCTAAAACCCTAAACCCTAAATTTAAACCCTCAACCCTCAAGCCCTAAACCCTCAACCCTAGGCCCCAAAACCCTGAACCCAAAGCCCTGAACCCCTCAACCCCAAAACCCTAAACCCCAAGCCTTAAACCCTAAAACCCTCAACCCCAAAGCCCTAACCCTAAGACCCCTGAAGCCCCTAAGACCCCTGAAGCCCCAAACCCCTAACCCTAAGCCCCAAAAAACCCCTAAGTCTAAACCCGAAAAACCCTCAACCCTAAACCCCCTAAGCCCTAGAAACCCCACACTCCTAAACCCTAGAAACCCTCAACCCCCTAAACCCTCAACCCCCTAAACCTCCTAAACCCTAGAAACCCCACACTCCTAAACCCTAGAAACCCTCAACCCCCTAAACCCTAGAAACCCTAAACTCCTAAACTCTAGAAACCCGCAACTAATAAACGCTAGAAATCCTCAACCCCTAAACACCTAGAAACCCCCCTAAACCCTAGAAACCCCACACTCCTAAACCCTAGAAACCCTAAACCCTAAACCCTAAACCCTAAACCCTAAACCCTAAACCCCTAAAGCCCTAAACCCTAAACCCTAAACCCCTAAAGCCCTAAACCCTAAACCCTAAACCCTAAACCCTAAACCCTAAACCCTAAACCCTAAACAAGCGGCAGGCCGGGAAGTGGCTCCTGGAGACCGTGGCCTCCGACCTGCTCTCGAGCGGCCGCCCGGCGCGCGCAGTCTTGGGAGATGACTTGGGGGGGTTTAGGGTTTAGGGTTTAGGGTTTCGGGTTTAGGGTTTAGGGTTTCGGGTTTGGGGTTTCGGGTTTAGGGTTTGGAGTTTAGGGTTTCTTGGGGGGTTTAGGGGAGGCTTTAGGGGAGTTTTCGGATCTCGGGGTTGGCTCGTGACATCGGCTGGTCAGCAATCGTCGCCTTCTTCGGGGTACTGGCTGCCCTTCTACTGTAAGGGGGTTTCCCGAAAATAGGGGCACCGAGGTCCCTATTCTATTCCATGTGGGGTTTAAACGGAGTGCCCTTGTTTTGGGTTTAGAGTTTCGTGCTTGGGGGGCAGGGGTTCGTTTTCGCTGTGCTTGCCGGCCACCTGCTCGAACCCGAAACCCCTGAGCCCTGAACGCCCCCATGCTGTGTCGCAGGGAGCCCTAAACCCCAAGCTTCAAACCTTTAAACCCTGAGCCCCAAACTGCCCTAAGCTGAAGCTTCAGACCAGGCTACGGCACCGAGATCGCGCGCCAGCCGACGCCCTTTGCCTGCAAGGGGCAAGAGCGGTTTGGGGTTCGAAGGGCTTTGGGGGCCTCAGCCTTGGGAGTTTAGGGCTCCCCGGGGGTTTGTAGGGTTCAGGGGTCTTAGGGTCAAGGGACTGGGCTGCTGGTAAGGATCTGAAATTAAGCTACCACAGTATGGGCACAGTTGAGTTTTCGGCATATACATATCCTATATTGTGGTGACCCTAACCAGGCCATACAGGGTTTTGGGCTTGAGCGTTTTCTTGAACACCCCGTAAGCACGAGGATGGATGACCTCTCAAACCCCAAACCCTGGGCCCTTAAGCCCTAAACCCCTCAAACTCCTAAACTCCCCAAACCCCCAAAAACCCTGAAGGACCTCACCGCTGCTCGCTCAGGTTTAATCCGACGCCAGCCCTTGGCGACACCATCTGGAACCTGAAGTGCAGGTAGGTGCTTGGGTGTTGGTAGGTTTTGGAGATCCCAGGATTGCTTCTAGTCCTTTTGTGAGGGCTTAGGGTCCCTTTTCACCCTTGGCCTTTAAGCATACAACAAGGGCACCCCTTGCTTCCTTGGGCTGTCGGGTCTTGGGATGCCTCACATGGCTCCACCAGGGCTTAGGCACAGTTCGCCCTCTCCTTGCACCTGCGAACAGAGCCCGAGGGATACCATCTGATAGCACTGTTCACCCAAAACCCCAAATCCCAAACCCCAAACCCTAATCCCTAAACGCCCTTGACCCTCAACCCTCAACCCTGAGCCCCTCTACCCGCTCAACCCTAAGCCGCGTTGATGTCTTTGATGGGCAGCGGTTCAGTGTGTGGGGGGTTCTCCGGCTTCCTCAACATTATGCGTATCCTTGAAGCGAAAAGTGTTGCGCGTGTGCACCATCAAGTTGGCTGTTCAAGTGGTTGTTGAGTTCGACACCGGCGCCTATGCACAGGCACCCCAACGGCATTGGCGGCGAGTACATCCAGCCCCTCGGAATTGGGGCGTTTGCGGTTAGGGGGTTGCAGGGGATTACCAGCAGTTTGTGCAGGAAGAAGCAGTCGAAGGGCTGACACCACACATTTCAAAGCTGACCCCTAAATCCTACACTCTGAGACCCCGAACCCGAAACCCCAAAGCCCAATTAAGCCCCGACCTTACTGTGAGCCCTATGTAAGCCTGAACCGAGGTACCGGACCAAGATCGTTGAGCTGGTTCCTTGCACTTGCGACTCGCTGATCGACGCCTGGCAAGCTGGGATCAAGGTTTTGGTTCGGAGGTTTAGTCCCCCTAATACTGTATAAGCCTATAACACAACTTTAATATTGGGGGGTAGGGAGGGATGTGAATATTGGGGGAGGGGTTTACAGGGGTTTAGTTACGGGTTTTGAGGGTTTAGGCGATTGGGTCTCAGGATTGACTGGGCCCGAGCCCAAGAGCACTGATTGAACCCCAATATGCAGGCGTGAGCACCAAACAGCTATGCCCCGAACAGGACCACTCCAAGGGCCCAAAGCCACGACAGTTCTGCACTTCGCATCCGCGCGGGACTGTGTGCAATTTTGGAGTCCCTGCCGCAGTTTTTCTCGACACGGAGGGATGCAAGCCTCAGCAAGTGTACGGGACCTAGGCGAGGGCGCGACTCGGTGCTTGCCCCACGCGCACGCTGGCCGCTAAGTCAATCAACCAATTTCCTTTCAACGTCAGAACCCATCGTGCAAATGCTGTTGGGCAAAACCCGACAACCCCGGAAATCCCTACGCCCGAAATGCTCAGAAAGCCCGACATCCCAGCTTTTGTGTTCTCGAGGCCCATTTCAAGCTTCCAACTGGCCAGATCCCCCTCAACCCTCAGCCGCTTCGTAGGGTTTGTGGGGTGTGTAGCCCTAAACCCTAAACCCTAAACCCTGAACCCTAAACCCTAGACCCTAAACCCAGGGTTGGTAGGTTTCAGGGTTTCGAGGGGTTTAGGCCCTTCATACCAGGACTGCAACGGCCGTGGGGAGGCCGTCGGCACCAAGGAGAGAACTAGGGCCTCGAGTGGAGGGCTCAGGGCTTAGAATCCAGGTGTTGAGACATGTCGAGCTTCCATTCCGGCCGATCTTCAGCCCTCGCAACCCGCAAAACCGCCAGGGCACCGAACCAGGGCTAGGGTTTAGGGTTGAGCGTGCCAGTGTGGAGAAAGGGCTTACGGTTTTAAGGGCTAGACAATGCTCCGAAACCCCTTCAACCCCCAAATTCTCAAGACAATCTAAGCAGTGCTAGGCAGCCTTACTTAAGCCCTACAAACCCCAAACAGCCTCAACCCCCCCCCCCCCTCCCCGACCCCGAGCGAAGATGCAGCTTGCAGGACACCGGGCCGAATTGCCAGCCCCGTGTCCGAACGGTTTCAGGGGATTTGTTTTGTTTTTTGAGGTTTTCTTGGTTTGTTTATAGGGCTTATTAGGGTTTATAAGGGTTTTCAGGTTATATTTTTGCGAGGTTGGGCGTTTTCTGCTTTTTGGTTTTTAGGGGGGGGCTTTTCAGGGATTATTATCATTTAGGCTCTTTTCGGGTCATTTTCGAGTGTTGGGTGTCTTTGTTTTCTTTTTGGTGTTCTGGTATCTCGCATTTGGGTTTTGGGGGGCGTTCTTGGGGTTTTCTTGGGGCGGCTGGGGTTTGGCCAGTGCGTCTCAAGCCTCCGAGGGCAGGGGGTGGGAGGGGTTGCCTAAACCCTTAGCCCGAAACCCTTAACCCGAAACGCTAAACCCAAAACCCAAAAACCCTAAGCCCTAAACACTAAACCCCTACACCCTCAGAGGTGGGTGGGGAGAGCCACTGCAAGGTTCGTTGGGGGGCGGTTGCGGCCTTTTGTGGACTCCACGGGTGTGTTTTTGTTGGGGTGTTCCGGGTTCTACGGGTGTTTAGGGGTGTTTGGGGGTGTTTAAGGGCTGTTTAGGGGTGTTTAGGGGTGTTTAGGGGCTGTTTAGGGGCTGTTTAGGGGTGTTTAGGGGTTGTTTAGGGCATTTTGGAGTTTTAGAGCTTTTCTTCCCGGGTGAGACGCAACCCAGGTGCATCTGCGACCCCGATCGCGCTGGGGAAGGCTGCGAGATTCCCCTCTGCCAGGCGGGGAGAGCGAAGCGAGCGAAGCTATGTAAGGGCCCTAGTGCCCCAACTACCACCTTGAACCCTCAACCCAAAGCTCCCTATTCAGAACCAGCTTGAACCCTCAACCCTAAGCTCCCTATTCAGAACCAGCTTGAACCCTCAACCCTAAGCTCCCTATTGAGAGCCAGTAAGAAAGCCCTCGACACCCCGAGCTGTAAGAGTCGAAGGAAGCAAAGACCTGCAAGGTCGGTTTAGGGTGTTAAGCTTTACGGCTCTTTTCATTCCCCCCATTACATGCTACACCGTAAGCCCTACACCCTGAAGCCGAATGCCCAAACGATCAAGGTCCCGGGCATACTTAACGGACGCCAGCCAGCCTGTGCCGCGGTCCGAAGTGTTTGGCCAGTGGCGTTCGGTGGTTGGGGTCTTTTTTGTTTGGTGTCCGTAGATGTTTTTTTCTTGTTTTTTGTGTTGGGGGGGGGCTCGGGTTGCAGGCTGTTGTGTAAACTCTAACCTTTAAAACACCCCTGAACCTCATAGAAGCACGGAAGACTAAACCACATGTCGTATATGGAGCCCTCAAAGATTAGACATTTGCATACCTAGATATATAGTTTTTCCCCTCCACAAGACCATGGACGGATGGTACTTCCAGTATCCAAGCCGTCTGGATACAGGCTGGCAAACCTCCACTCCTAAACAATTGCAACAGTTGTCTAATGTAACTACCACCCCAGAACACTCTACACCCTGTAGGTTACAGTCCGGAATACATAGGGCCCGCTTCAGCAAGTCTAGCCACGGAGGCTACCCATGACCCTGCTTGACAGAGTGTGCCACTCTTGCCCTGACCAACCCACAGGAACTTTCTGGGTGTTAAAACGCCTGCCCGTAAACGCAGCTTCAGCGTGCATCTGCGAACTGCGCGCGCGCGCGCGCGCGCGCGCGCGAGCCCAGGAAGTTCCTTCAGCATGCAGTAGGCAGTCGCAAGGCGGGCGTAGCAGAGAAGCCTGAAAACCAAAGGGTTTAGGGTTTAGAGGTTTAGGGGTTTAGGGGTTTAGGGGTTTAGGGTTTCAGGGGTTCAGGGGTTCAGGGGTTCAGGGGTTCAGGGGTTTGGGGGTTTAGGGGTTTAGGGTTTAGGGAGCCCCTGAACTCCCACAGTGCACTCTGCCAAGGTAAAGAGGGCGGGTGGATCTACCCGGCAGCCTGGCCTTGAGCGCGGTGTAGGGGGGGTGGCGTTCGTTGGGCTCCAGGGCTCAGGATTTGGGGTTCAGGGTTTGGGGTTTAGGGTTTAGGGTTGCGGGTTTCGGGTTTCGGGTTTAGGGTTTAGGGTTTGGGGTTTAGGGTTTAGGGTTGAGGGCTTCGGGAGTAAAAATGCAAGAAGAGTTTAGGGTTCCGGAGGGGTTTCAGGGCTCAGGATATGGGGAGCCTGGGCCGCCCTGAGCCCAGCAGCGTAAGGGTCTAGGGTCTAGGGTCTAGGGTCTGGGGTTTAGGGTTTAGGGTTTCGGGTTTAAGGTTTAGGGTTTGGGGTTTAGGGTTTCGGGTTTAGGGGGGCTCCCTTGACTCCCTTGACTTAAACTTGATTCGGATAGGTGACTCGGGCATCAGTAGGGGGGTACATGAGATTTTTTTTACCATAGTTGGCATCATGAAATGTTACGGGCTACCACCCTGCTCACAAGCACTCTTTCCATATGAAGCCTCAAGTACCTGCCCTTCTGAGCCCGAATGCCTCTAAGGCCCAGACCCTAACCAAACCCCCACTTGGAGGTTCAGTGTACTTGGTAGCCCAGTATAAGTGTAGTTATAAACCACATATAAGCCCCCTAAGTACCCCATTAGGGTGATCCTTGGGTTATACGTGCAGTCTTCATTGGGTGACTTAAGTACTATGAACCTCCAAGCAGGCCTGGCCTGTCAAGAGCCTCGAGAGTCCTCCCAGGGGGGCACCTGCACGCCCGACTGCCAAGAGGGCTACGTGCCGTCCCACGAGAAGTTCACCTGCCGCCCAGCTTGGGTTTAGGGTTTGGGGTGTAGGGTTCAGGTTTGGGGTTCAGGGCTTAGCGCTTGGGGTGGTTCAGGGCTGAGGGGTTATGAACCCTACAAGCCCTATAGACCCTACAAACCCTAAACCCCTCTGAACCCTCTACACCTTAACAAAAACCCTCCTAAACCCTCCAAACGCTATAAACCCCTAATAAACCCTTAATAAACCCTTGTAAAAAAACCCGATAGACCCCATGAAATCGAGGCGTCCCCTAATAAACCCTACAAACCCTGGTAAAAAACCCGATATATCGGGCAGACGTTCGAGAGCCGAGGCGACTCCGAGGGCGCCTTCCTGCTTCCCCTGGGCTTCACCTGCAACGAGGTCTGGGTGGACGAGCCCCCGGCCGCTCTGCGCACTCGGGTGTGGGGAGGGGGTAGGGGGGGGGGTTAAGGTGTGGAGAGGGTTTTAGGCGTTTTGAGGGTTTAGAGGGTGTAGGGGGTGTAGGGGGTGTAGGGGGTGTAGGGTTTATGAGTCTTATAGGGTTTAGGCAGTTTGAGGGATTATAGGGTTTTACTCCTGGAGGTTTAGGGGTTTTCAGGGTTTAGGGCTCAGGGTTGTTTTATGGTTTTAGGGCTCAGGGCTCAGGGTGTGAGATCCAGGGGCCTCAGAGCTCAGGGTTGAAAAGGAGTTTAGGGCTTGGCTGCGCTTTGCGTGCTCAGTGTTTCGGGTTCAGGCTTGCAGTGTGGCTCTTGGCAGTCGGCGCATTCTTGCGTGTCTGGGAGAGGGTGCGGAAGAGTTATCAAACAGGGTCTTGGGGTTTGGGCTTGAACAGATTGGCGGAAGGGGTCTGAAGCGCCGTTCCTCGCCTGTCCAAGATCGACGAATTCGGCAACACCCCGGATTTCTACGAGTCTTCGACGACCACGCCACCGCCGGAGTGCACGGCCACTGGGCTTCAGATGAGAAAAGTTTTTCAACCCAAAACCGCGAGCCCTAAACCCTTAACCCCGGTGTTTTCTGGCAGTGTAACTATGGATGTGACTGGTTACAACCTTACTTGGGTTTATACTTTCGTAAGCCAGGAACCTTCAAGTAATTGCCTGTTAAAGGTCCATTCGGATATAGGGAGCGGAAGCTTTCTTTTTTTGGGGGGGGGGGGGGGGGGGGGGGGGGGGGGGAGGGATTTTAGGGTGAGAGCTCCCGGGAGTTGAGGGCTTCAAACCCTAGAAAAGCCCTCCGATCCTCACCCTACGATGTGTGTTGACAAGTTTCACTTGCTTCTTCCGCTCCATATAGGGGAAAGGTAGGGCACAGAGGGTCCTGGGGAGGTTGCCTTCTCCCCTCCTCAACTCTAAATTGTCTTTTCTCCCTAAGAGCGGCTGCCCTAGAGCCTAAGCATGAGGCACACGACCGAAAATGCGAACCCTAAACTTCGGATAGTCCCGCCACCCTATAGCAGTACCCACAAGTGGCAGTTTTTGGTCGGAAGATAACATATGCACATACTCTTATACATAAACAAATCAATAGATGTAGAACTTGCGCAAACTCATAAATGAAGAGAGATAGATATGCCTGTCTGTCTGTCTGTCTGTCTGTCTGTCTGTCTGTCTGTCTGTCTGTCTGTGCAACTGTGTCTTGCAACTGTGTCTTGCAACTGTGTCTTGCACTCGGAGCGACTCAAGGATTTCGACTGCGTCTTCCATGGCCAGGCCTGTGCCCAGCAGTTGCTTTGTTCCTGCGGCCTCTGAAAGCAGGGTTTAGAGTTTAGGTTTCAGGGTTTAGGGTTTAGGGCTAGGGGGTTTAGGGTTTAGGGTTTAGGGGGTTTAGGGTTTAGGGTTTAGTGTTAGGGGGGTTTAGGGGGTTTAGGGCTTAGGGGGTTGAGGGCTTCAAGCAGGAGCCGAAATAATCACCAATAGCACATACCAGAAGTAGAATTCCCACTCCATTCAAGTAGGCTCCTGCCCTAATCCTTAGAACCCTAAACCCTTGGGTTTCTGAAGCCTTTACCTTGCTGGGGTGCCATATGAGGGCACCGTAAAGGGTACCCCTCAGGCGGGCCTCCTGAAACGAGGTTTCCGCGGGCCCCGTGGGTGCTGAACCCTCGACCCGAGATCCTGGATCCTAAGCGCCTAAGCTCCTAAACCTTATAATCTCCGGAGCCTAGTCTCCGAAACTCCCCAGCTCCCAAGCCCTCTAACCTCTGAATCCTGAAACTCCTCAACTCCTGAGCTCCTGAACCCTGTAATCTCTGAATCCTAGACTCCTAAGCTTCTAAATTTGAACCCTTGCTGCCCCACATGCCTCCACCCTGGTGCCCGAAAAAGACCTGAAACCCCCTTGGAAATCCCAAAGAGCCCCGGAACTCCCCACAAATTCCCAAGACAGTCCCAAAAGCCCCTTAGCCCACCCCCCACCCCACCCCCAAAAAGCAAAACAACAAAGCAAAACAAAAACACAAAATAATAACACAAAGCAACAGCAAGAAGAAAAGCAGAACTCAACCCCCTGAACCCCAAGCTGCCATCCAAGTCTGCCAGGCAAACAGCAACAGGGTAAACCCTTCTGTAGACCCGAAACCCCAAATCCTAAGAAACCCAAAGCCCCAAACCCTAAGAAACCCTAAGAAACCCTAAGAAAACCCTGGGAAACGCTAAAACCCTAAAAAAACCCTAAACCGTAAACCCTAAACCCTAAACCCTAAACCCTAAGCCCTAAACCCTAAACCCTCTTGCCAGGCAACGAAGGCCCGTCGAGAGGATGGCAGCTGCGAGTGCATCTGTGCCGCTGGTCCTGTAGGGTTTAGGGCTCGAGGCTTGGGGTTTAGGGTTTTAGGGTTTGGGGGTTTAGGGTTTTAGGGTTTTAGGGTTTTAGGGTTTTAGGGTTTTAGGGTTTTGGGGTTTTAGGGTTTTAGGGTTTTAGGGTTTTAGGGTTTTAGGGTTTTAGGGTTTTAGGGTTTTAGGGTTTTAGGGTTTTAGGTCTCGAGGTTTTAGGGTTTAGGGTTTTTGGGTTTAGGGTTCAGGGTTTGGGGTTCAAGGTTTAGGTGTTTGGGGCCCTGGTTCGTGCCGTAAACCATGGGGAAGAGACTAATTATTCGACAGAGGGAGTCCTCCAAAAGGGCTCGTGATTTAGAAGAAGACCACCCTTCTAGGACTGAGGTTTTAGGGTTTAGGGTTGTGGGGAGGGGGGGGGCGGCTGGAGCGGGGCCTGCTCCTCAGGCAGGTAGAAGACCTGCAGAATCAGGTGTCCGTTGTCACCAGCGAGCTTTCATCGCTCCGCCGAGCACGGCACCTCGAAACGTCAGTCGAAGTCAGACGCACATCATGCCTGCATTGGGCGCGCGGCCGGCTTGGCGAGTCTCGCGCTAGGCAGAAGTTGGACTGAAGGCAGCCGTTGCATGCCCGAATGAGATGGTGCATGAAGTGAATGCATGTGTAGAATGCAGTGCTCCACGCGCTTGAAGGCTCAGGGGCAGTTAAAGTAGGGTTATAAGTCCCCATACCCGTCCCCAGAAGGATTGTGCCAGCGATACTTCCCCGACTGACCCAGCTATACTTACCCATGAACCTCCAAGTAAGACGCCGTTGCATGTTTTTACGTGTTTCAAGAATAGTGGAGCGCACCTGTAAACCCTAAACCCTGAACCCTAAACCCTAAACCCTGAACCCTGAACCTTCAACCCTCGAGCCTGAACCCTGAACCCTAAACCCTAAACCCTAAACCCTAAACCTTCAACCCTCAAGCCTAAACCCTGAACCCTAAACCCGAAACCCGCAAAAATCAGAAGCCCGGAAGCCCCCACGGGCCTAGCACCCTTGTGCTCAGGACGAAGGCTACACCGGCCCCCAGTGTCGGTCCATTGTGGGCCTCTTGGCTGAGGAGTTGAAGGCAAGCCCCCAAACCCAAAGCCCTCAGGGTTTAGGGTTTAGGGTTTAGGGTTTAGGGTTTAGGGTTTAGGGTTTAGGGTTTAGGGTTTAGGGTTTAGGGTTTAGGGTTTAGGGTTTAGGGTTTAGGAACCCCCCCAAACTGAGTCCCCCTACGCGCATAAGAAGCCCCCCAAGCAGGGGCCCCACCCCATGGGAGCCTCGAGGCGACTGCCTGGCGCCCCTCCACAAGACCATCCCAAACTCGGCACTCTCCACGTGCGAGGCGGTTGCCTGCGAGCTCTTTAGGGGCTTCTGGGGGGGAGCTGAGGGCCCCTACACCCCCAGCCCTAAGGCGGATTTGGGGTTTGGGAGTGAGGGTTTTGGGTTCAGGGGCTGAGGGTTTAGGTGGGGGCGGGGTGGCGGTGGGGTGTTCGGAGTTCAGCTTGGACTTAAGGCTTTCAGCCCGAGTCCTTCCGCGAGCGTTTCCATGCGTAGTTATAGCTGGGTTAGAAACATGGTGCAGTAGCTAGAGTTGCAGTTCCTTACATGCTTTGCCGGGGCACTTACAACCCTACTTTATAGCAACCCATGAGCCCTCAAGTAGGAGCTGTCGACATCGCCCAAATATTGACGAAGCCTTCAGTGTGGAGGGGGTCTGGAGGGGTTCGAAGCTCCCTCGTGGGAGGGGTTTCGGGTTTAATTAGGGTTTATGGGTTCAGGTTTTAAGGGATCAGGGTTTTAGGGTTTAGGGTTTTTCAGCGTTTAGGGTTTAAGGGTTTAAGGGCTTATGGCTAAAGCTTGAGGGTTTAGGGTTTAGGCTCCTTAAATCTCGAAGTTCCCCATATATTGGCAGGAGGGGTCCCGGCCGAACCTCGTCTGCACCGCCCGATGCGACGAGACGTACTACGCCGTGCCAGCGACGCTGGAGTGCCAGGAGACTGGGGGCTGAAGTTCCCGCTGGAAGCTTTGTAGGTAGGGTTTAGGGTTTAGGGTTTAGGGTTTAGGGTTTAGGGTTTAGGGTTTAGGGTTTAGGGTTTAGGGTTTAGGGTTTTGGGTTTTGGGTTTTGGGTTTAGGGTTGAGTCGCGTTAGGGCCCAGGGTCCGCTTGAAGGGTCACAGGCAGCTATACGCGAATTGACTCAGCCAAGGATATATCCATTGACACTTGAAGTTACCCTACCTGTCGCCCCATCCATGCCTCCAAGTAGTGTAGAAGTTTCAGGGTTGCCTTAACAGCTTGTACGCGATGGTTTCAGTTCCCGATTTCGGATGTTTAGAGGCCGTTGCCCCCTTTTTTTTGGATAACTGGACATTGGAAGGGTTTACAGTAAGTCCCCTGTTACATGAAGGGACATTCAGGCCAAGTCAGATCTGCACTGAACCCCAAACCCTGCTGTGAATGCGTCTCGCTTTGGAACAGCGCTTTTCTGATTGCACGTCCTTCTAATTTGCAACTAGGGTTTAGGGTTTAGGGTTTAGGGTGTAGGGTTTAGGGGTAGACCCAAACCCCTCAACCCCGAAACCCTACACCTCACGCAGGGCACCGAGCTGGTGCCCCCCAAGTTTCGCTGCTTTGGGGGCCCCACGACACAGGCACCGGGACTTTTTTCGGTGTGGGGTTTAGAGGATTTGTGTTTAGGGTTTGGGGAAGGTCTGGTGTAGTTGTTTTTGTCAGGGGTGCCAGTGTATGTTGAAGAGGCTTTCGAGTTTAGGGCATGTGGAGGTGTGATTCAGATTGATACAAGACTGCCTGAGTTCAAGCCCGAAACTGAGCTCATTCCACGCCGAATAAGATGCTGATCATTTGTCGGCAATGGAGATGAAGTTACAACCGCAAGCCGAAAAGCACTAGGACGCCGTGCCCTTACTCCTGTTTGCAAGGGTTCAGTTCAAATGTTGACCCCATGAACCAATAAAGGGCACTCTTTCATTTCGAGGTTACTGGATAAGCCCGAACAAACCATAACCAAACCCCCCAGAAAGCACTGCAACTCAAAAAGCCCTACCTAACACAGAATCGCAGCTCCTGAGAGACCAGAAGAGAATCAGGCCGGTTCTTAGCCGGTTCTTAGTAGGGACTGAGGGAATGAGGTACCCTACAGAATCCTCTACAGGGTATCCCTAAACCCTAAACCCTAAACCCCCCTGAACCCTAAACCCTAAACTGTAAGGGCCCTCATCCCCTCATTCTCCACTAAGAACCAGTTGGCTCAGGTCCTCTGGTGCGAGATGGCCCAGACCATCTCGCTAGTCTTCTCCGGTGTCACCGCCTTTGGCCTCATGGTGGCTGGGCTTTGGCACGTAGGGTTTAGGGTTTAGGGTTTAGGTTTTAGGGTTTAGGGTGTAGGGTTTAGGGGCAGTAGCGCCCAACCAGCATAGTTTTAGGTTTAGGGATGAGTGATTGGAGGTCGCAGAACTGCTGGCATGGCCCACGGTTCCATGTTCCCCGCCAAGTGTCATGTTAGGGTGCAGGGACGCGCCCGCCATTCCGGTGCGCAGGGGGTTTTTGTGATTCTGAAGGCGTGTCTTGAGTTGCATCCGTGGCCATGAAGCCAGAGAGCTCAATCATGAGGTCTTTTTGCAAAAGCAACATCATTCCAGTGCACCGGGCCGAAATCCTGCAGCCTCAGCCTCAACCCCAGCACCGTTTCCCCTGAACCTCAAACCCGAAAAGCCGCAGTGCCCCTGAACCCCAAAACCGAAACCCTAAATTGGGTTGGGGGTGTGGAGAGCCAGAACCTTGACTATCCCGATATCCTACCTTAATTACTTCTGCCCCAACCTCCGCTCCCGGCCCTATGCAGGCTACAATACCCTAAGCCTTCAACCCTAAACCCTGAACCCTCAACCCAAAGACCCTAAACCCTAAACTTTAAACCCGAAACCCCAAACCCTAAACCCTAGGCCCTATACAAACCCTAAACTCTAAACTCCGCCCTCACGCCTACTGTATCTGGATTCAAAAACCTTCGAAGAAAGTGTATAGCCCAAACCCAAAATGTTAACGCCTCTAGCCTCAGGGGGTTTAGGGGTTTAGGGGGGTTTAGGGGGGTTGAGGGGTTTAGGGGTGTAGGGGTTTAGGCATTCAGCTCCATATGGGTGGCTGTCAAAATTAAGATCCCTTTGAACCTGTCTTAAATATTAGGTGCCGTATTATAATAGGGATCCAAAAAAGGACCATATTTTTGACAACCACCCATACAGCTCCAAGTAAATCCGGGCGCGCGCGCATCTCCAGGCCGCGCGAGAGGCCGAGGGCCTTTCGGATCAACCCGAAACCCCTAAACCCCTAAACCCTAAACCCTAAACCCTAAACCTTAAACCCTAAACCCCCCAAAGAGCCCTGAACCCCAAAAGCCCAAAACCTTAGAGCCCTCAGCTGCCGAGGTGGCGTGCGTCTGCTTCCAGCGAAATCGCATCCGCAGCTTCAACAACATCCTCTACCACGCCTCTGGGCTCGTGTTAGGGTTTAGGGTTTAGGGTTTCGGGTTTAGGGTTTAGGGTTTAGGGTTTGGGGTTTAGGGTTGTGTCCAGGGCTTCAGGTGTTGGATTTTGGGGTTTGGGGTTTGGGGTTTGGAGTCAGGGTTCGGGGGTGCTTCAAAGTACCCTGAAGAGTTCAATGAGGGGATCTGAGGTAGCTAATTCCCTCGTAAATCCGGGGGGGGGCTGGCCGTGACAGGGTGGCTGTCACAGGCCTTTCCCAAACGGGTTTATTAGCTACTGATCCTCCCCGAGGTCTTTTTTTTTGGGTTGGAGTTGCACAGGGCGAAGTGTACTTGATTTTTTGCATTTCCGCATGCCACCACCTCCACCTCCGCAAGGACAAGCTGTTCGAGGCGCAGCAGGCGAGGGGATCGCGGACAGAAACTTCCCGAAGCTCTTAACCCTAAGCCGCAAGTGCAAAAAACCCTCAACTTGAGCCCGAAACCCCGTCAACCCTAAACCCCTACCTCCCTCAGGGAAGATCACTTCCTAATGGACGGTTTTGTGTGGGCACAAGGGACCTCACTATTTCCTGTGGCCCATGAACAAGGGGGGTCTGGGGTCATTTTTCGTGGGATCAGAAGGCCCATAGGCCTCAGAGCTGTTGGGACTTCTAGGGTTGACTGTGTAGTTCCTTGGGATGTTCTCCATATTTCTCCTTGCTGGGCTTCAAGAAAGGATGATCTCTGGTAGTCTATTTTCGGAGGGTTTCAAGGGCCGACCCGGTTTAGGGTTCAGGGTTCTACGTGTTTGCGGGTTTAGGGGTTTGGGGGTGTAGGGGTTTAGGGGTTTAGGGGTTTAGGGGTTTAGGGGTTTAATTAGGGGTTTAGGGGCCCTGAAAGCCTTGGGAGTCAAGAGCCCCAAACCCTAAAGAGGATGTGCATGGCAACTTCAACGTGGTGCGGATGACCAATGGCCAGGACCCAGCAGGTCCTGAACTCCTCAAGGTCTCGCAGGTTTAGGGTGTTTTTGGGGGTGTTTAGGGTCTCGGTTTTTTGGGGATTTAGGTTTTTTTTAAGGATTTTAGGGTTTAGGGCTTTTAAGGTTTAGGAAATCCTACCCCTACGCCCTAGACCCTTCGCCCCCTCTCTGAGCCCCGAAGTCTACCTTGCTAGACCCTAGCCCCTCAACCCTAAGCCCCCACCACCCAATCCCCAAAGACCTGGGCCCCAAACCTTACATCCCGAACTCCAAGTCCGGCTCTGCTTGCCCTAAACCCTAAACCCTAAACCCTAAACCCTGAACCCTAAACCCTAAACCCTAAACCCTAAACCCTAAACCCTAAACCCTAAACCCTAAACCCTAAACCCTAAACCCTAAACCCTAAACCCCAAACCTTGAACCCTAAGCCCTGAACCCTAAGCCCTGAACCCCAAAAAACCTAAAACCCTAAACGAGGAACTTCAGGGGTGTGCGGTCTAGGGTTTAGGGTTCCGGGTGTGTAGGGTTTAGGGTCTAGGGTTCAGGGTGTAGGGTTTGGGGGTTTAGCGCTTTAGGAGCTTGAGGCTGGAGGCTTCCGAGGGTTCAGGCTTGGAAGTGTTTCAGTTGGTTGCGTGCTGCAAGATTTCGAGGTTGAGCCGTAGCGCCCCCTCAAATCCTGAACCCTCGGCTGTAGACCCCAATCCCAAGTCCACCCTTTAACCCTAAACCCCATACCCTTAAAAACCCCAAACCCTAAACCCTAAACCCTAAACCCTAAACCCTAAACCCTAAACCCTAAACCCTAAACCCTAAACCCTAAACCCTAAACCCGTTTCTCAAAGCGGCCAGGAGTATCACAGCAAGCTTCCCCACCACCTCCTTGCCAGGGACCCGCGCCCTCCGGTGGAGGTGCCTGGGCTGGGGGGGGGGGGGGAGATTATCGCTGCACTTTGTGGATCTGGTAGGTTTAGGGTTTAGGGTTCAGGGTTTAGGGTTTCGGGTTTGGGGTTTGGGGTTTAGGGTTTAGGGTTATTGTGAGTCTTGCATTTTTTGCTTTCAACACTGAACCTGAAGCTCCAAAGCCTCAAGCCCTAAGCCCTAAGCCCTAAGCCCTAAACCCTAAACCCTAAACCCTCAACCCTAAACCCTCAACCCTGAACCCTAAACCCTAAATCCTAAACCCGAAACCCAGCAAAGACCCTCTTAGGAGGACGCTCTCCGCGACGCGATCGTCGGCGAGTCCAACTGGGCAAACTGGGGGCAGCCGACGGTGCGCCATCGCCATCGGTAGAGGGCTTCATAGGCTTCAGCGTCTAGGTTTGCAGGGGTTCTTAGGTTTCTCCCTAAACCCTAAACCCTAAACCCTAAACCCTAAACCCTAAACCCTAAACCCTAAACCCTAAACCCTAAACCCTAAACCCTAAACCCTAAATCCGAAACCCGAAACCCGAAACCCTAAACCCTAAACCCTAAACCCTAAACCCTAAACCCTAAACCCTAAACCCTAAACCCCTAAACCCCTAAACCCTTAAACCCCAAACCCCAAACCCGAAACCCTAAACCCTAAACCCTAAACCGTTTCTTCTTACAACATGTTTACGGTTTTTAGGGCTTTGAGGGGGCCCTAAGGGCTGAGGGCCTAGACCCAAAGCCCGCACAGGCTTTAGGGCTCCAGGCCACTTGGCGCGTTGTTGTTTCATGGTTTTTTTGTGGGCGTCTAGGGTTAGGGACATCGACAAGACTTTGGCCACTCCACCGGCAGGCCTAAGCCCTAAACCTTAAGCCCTAAACCCCAAAACCCTAAACCCCAAACCCCAAACCCTAACCCCAAACCTCTTAGTTTCCCAAAACTCAACCAATGCCGCATGGGCACAGGTGGATCCAATGGCCACGGCCCTGCCTGTGCAGGACCTGCGCGAGGCACGGCGCTGAGATTTTGTCGGGGGTTTCGCCGGACCTTCGTAGGGGTTTTAGGGTTTCGGGGTTCGGGTGTTAGGGTTTTGGTTTAGGGTTTTGGGCTTTCAAGGGTTTTGGGAAAGTTTTGGGGTTTAGGGTTGAGGGTTTTAAGGGTTGAAGGATTCGGGGGGTTTGGGGGGTTGATGCTTTGAAGGTGTTAGCTGGGGAATCGCCCTCAAAGCACAAGAATTCGCGGACTCGTGCAACAAAGGCCCTAATGAAACGAGATTGAAAGTCCTACTCTGAAGGTTCTCGGGCAGTTCTCATATTCTCAGGGTTCTTAGAATCTCAAGAAACTAAGGGTTCTGGCCATGTTTCAGCAAGCCCCAAACGCTAAGCCCTCGGCCCTGGCTCTAAGCCTTTGTGGCTTTCGGCCTTAGACGTTCGGGTTTAGGTCCTCAGCGGTACTTTTCGGTCATCCAGTTGGTTGGCCGCAGTCCGCCAGATCGGCCATGGGCAGACCAACAAGTCTGGCTTCGATAGCTACTTGCTGAGCTGGAGGAGGGGGGACTTTGCCGCGCAGGAAAGCGGCAAAGTCATAAGATGGGCCTCTCTGGCGCTACAAAGACAGGCCTTGCCAGGCCGATGGGTCTGGGCTTCATGTTGGCGTCGATCTGCTCAGCCACCCCCTTGCTTCGGCTGTTCGGCCTGAATCCCCAAGATCCACAGGCCGCTGCCCCCTTGACTTGCCAGTGTTCTTCGCCCCGAGCACGGAGCAGGGTGGCCTTGTTGGTGAAAGTGATCACGCTCCAGACCTTGGACTTGATGTCCGTGTCCTAAAGCTGCTTTGACTTCAGGGGCCTAGGATTTCAGGGCTCAGCAACATTTCTTAGAGCCTTAGGGTCTGCCCCCTGTATATTAGGCTTCATTTGGGCTTAGACCCCTAACCCTCAGCCCTCAAACCCGGGGCTGCGGGCCGCTGAGGACACCAGCACCCGGACGCCCCCGAGCGCTCCCAGTACGCAGCGGCCAAGCTTGCACGACGCAGGCGGCCTTTCGCGTGCAACCCTCTAAGCCCCAGTCCTTAATAGGGATTCTAATGGGGAGTGCTAGAATCCTGATTCAGGAGTTGTTGGCCTATGGGGGAACATCCCAGGTTTAGGGCTTTAGACGTTGCTGAAAAAGCTTGACATGCACAGCCGTTCATGGGAACGTGTGTCGAGGTGTACTCCCAAGCGTTCCTAGAGCGGGAGTATTTCAAGTTCGGTTCGGGTTTCGGGGTTTGGGCTTAGGGTTTAGGGTTTAGGGTTTAGGGTAGGGCTTAGGGTTTGCGGGGGTTTAGAGTTCGGGTCTAGAGCTCGGGGAGGGGGATTTTAGCATCAGGGCGGGATCATTGTCGTGAACCCTCAACCCTGACTGAACCCTGAACCCTAAACCCCGAGCCCTAAACCCCTGAACCCTGAACACTCAACCACAGCCCTAAACCCCAAGCCCGTCGCCGGCAGGTCTCCCCGGCCAAGTGTCCGACGCCTTGGCCATCGTCGCAGCGCCTTGGCTCAATCAGCGCCTGAAAGCTCGAAATCCCCCAACCGCCAAACCGTTTGGACCTTAGGGTATAGGGTTTAGGCCCTCATCCCTGCACCCTACGGTTTAGAGTTTCAGCCTCAACCCCAAGCCCTACCCCCCCCCCCCCCCCCGGCTAGGGCTTTTGGGGTGATTCGGATCCTGGCTGCTTCAGAGGGTCCTTCTTCGAGGGTTTCCGTAGCTTTGTCCAGACCCTGTGGGGTGCGGGCCGGGGAGGAAGTAGAGCCCTTCCAAAGGGCGGGCTGAACCTTCCCCAGCCCCCTAGGGGCACAGGTTTTAAGCCCCCCAAACCCTCAAAGCAAAGCCCTGAAGTCCTAAACTCTAAGGTCCAGGAGCCGTTAAAAGTATATAATCACAGTAGCAATAACACTGGCAGTATTACGAATAGTGATAGTGATAATGGCAATGATAATCATGGTGGTAATAGTAAATGGGAAGAATCAATGGAACCTCAAGCACATGCGCCCGAGGACCCGGGCCTAAGACGAGGAGGAGAGGCGGCACCAAGGGCCTTAGGGACTTTAGGATGTAGGGATTGCAGGATTTAGGGCTTAGGGTTTAGGATTTGGGGATTATAGGATTTGAGTTTAGGATTTTAGGGGTAACAGTTTAGGGGTCAGTTCAGAGGGATCAGGCTCAGCGCTCGAGTTAAGGGTGTTTAAGTTTCACTTGGAGGTTCCTGGTTGGTCACAAATAGGGGATTCTTAAGGAGGGCATCCATAGTTACGGTACCTACCGCCCACCGACCCTCAGCTGGCCATGAGCCTTCAAGTAGGGGCTCTGCCGGGAGTTCAGGGGCTGGCCGTGCGCTTGAGGATGTAGCTCGTTGGCTTTGGCTTTGGGTTGGAGGGTATTTTCTGCGTTCGCAGCGCCCTTCCCGAAGGCCACTCGTCGTAGCTTTTTGCAATTGGGGTGGCTTCGCGGGTTGTGGGGCTTCTAAACCGCAAGGCCTTGAATGCGAGTGAATACGAAGTGATGGCGTAGGGGCGATCGCTCAAGACCTCACTCCCAAAAAAGCCCTGAGAGAGCTTTGCCCGCCCATGAGCAGCGTCCCCCCCAACTCCGGGGGGCCATCTCCCGGCCTTCAGGTCTCTGCTCAGAGCTGCAAAGCGCAGCTGCACATAAGCGAGCATGCCCACGGTGCACGTCTGGGCCATCTGGTCCCAGTGTCTGCTGTTTCAACGCCGGCCCAGGTGCCATCGTTTTTGAGCACACGAAGGGAGACTCCGACGCGAGTCGTTCTGAACATCTACGATGCGCACATCCGCCTTTTAACGGGAGTTGCGTGTCGGGTGGGGGATCACTAGTGTGACTCGTACCCCTGTGCGCCCTCATCGCATGGGAATCCGAGCAGACAAGTTCAGAAGCCCCGCAGCTTCTCAAATTTGACGCCCTCGGCCCAATGAGGCCCGAAACCTGAGCAGCCCCAGAGCCAAGGCACCCCAAAAGCCCAAAGCCCTTACTCCCTAAAACTGACGCCCTCAAGCCATAAAAACCCAAAACCCCAAGGAGCACGCTCAGCTGGAATTTTTAACACCCCAGGCTTGACCTTGCCGCCCCTCTAAGGAGGTTCAGGGTTTAGGGTTTAGGGTTTAGGGTTAAGAGTTTTCGGTGCGAAAAATAAGGCTCCATGTATTTCGCGATGCCGAAACAAGGGACTCGATTTTGCAGAACCGACCATGTGGGTTCCTGCACCCTAAGCCCCTGAAACCCTACAACCCAAAAGCACTAAAACCCTAAAACCCTAAAACCTTAAAACCCTAAAGCCCTAAAAACCCTAAAAACCGTAAACACCCTGAAAACCCGAAAACCCTAAAACCCCAAAGGCCCCAAACCCCTAAGCCCCGAACCCGAGCAGGTGGTGCTGAGATACATTGCCGGGCGGCCTGATCTGGATGGCGCCCACGGATGGCTCCTGGATTTCAGCCACGAGCTCCTTGGGGGGCAGTTAGGGGGAGTTCCGGGTAGGGCTGTAGGCCTAAACCCTAAACCCTAAACCCTAAACCCTAAACCCTAAACCCTAAACCCTAAACCCTAAACCCTAAACCCTAAACCCTAAACCCTAAACCCTAAACCCTAAACCCTAAACCCTAAACCCTAACCTAAACCCTAAACCCTAAACCCTAAACCCTAAACCCTAAACCCTAAACCCTAAACCCTAAACCCTAAACCCTAAACCTAAACCCTAAACCCTAGACCCTAGACCCTAGACCCTAAACCCTAAACAACCCTAAACCCTAAACAACCCCAAGCCCTAAACCCTAAGCCCTAAACCCTAAGCCCTAAACCCTAAACCCCACAACCCCAAAGCCTAAACCCTGAAACCCGAACCCTCAGCAGGTTGAACTCGGGCCTTGGTGGCTTGAACCCCTGTCGTTTTGCCAGGATCCCCATCTCCCCTCCCCAATAGTGATGTAGTTTTTTGGGTTTAGGGTTTAGGGTCCACTTAGGTCTGCCATGTACATCCGAAGTAACCCTAAAAGTTCGAGGCTTAGGGTTTGGGGTTCCGAGTTCATGAGGTTGAGGGTGCAGGATTTACGGGGTTCAGGGTGGGAGGGACCTCCAAAAGCATGCCCTTCAGTCCTCCTAGCCAAAAGTCCCTCTATGAGTACCCTACCCCCCCCCCCCCCCCCAAAAACAAAAAAAAAAAAAAAGTCAACCCATGGGCCCATGGACATCGCTGCTGTTAGGGTCTAGAATATTCATGCCGTGCCTGAGGACTGGGCTTTGCGAAGTCGATCTTGAGGCCCATCGCAGAGTGGGGAAGCTGCCCCGTTGAGTTTTTTTTTGAAGGGTGGCTGGGTGGTGCCGAAGCCCTCAAGGCAAACCCCTCCGCCCTACACCTTCAGCCTCAAATCCTAGGCCTAGAGGAAGAAAGTCGGGGGGAGAACGTTTCTTCCCTGCACCTGACAGAGCAAGAAGGGCTTGTAGACCGACAAAGACGGCCCTAGTCAGAAGCCGCCACGTGTGCCAAGCCTGTTCGTGAAAGGCGGTTCAGGGTTTAGGGTTTGAGTGGGGGTGAGGGAGGGTGGGGGAGGGTGGAGGAGGGAAGCCGCTCTGGTATCGGGGATTGTGCCATGGTTTCCCCAGTGCCCAGTAAAGCCAGCACGCCCCAATCGCCCAAAACCTAAAGACTAGAACCATCTTGAACTTAAGTCCTAACCCTGGAAATCCTGATCCTAAGCCTGGTCAAATTTCTTGGGGGTTGGGTGGGGATGTCGAACTGAACCCCTTCCTGCCACCCCAATCTCTGCCAACCAAGAGAGCGCCCTCAACGCCACAAAGCCGCTAAGCCCGTGAACCCTCTGCCCTAGACCGAAGCATCACAAACGGACCAGAGCCAGAACCCCACTTGAAGGTTCATGAGAGCACCCCCGCAACCCATGGAAACGCTATTTAGCGCTAGTAATCACTGCCGATGAACCTTCCGACGCTACGTCATGTACCGTGCTGGGAACAAGCCTCGAACCGGCCGGAGCCAGGGCATCGAAATCCTCAAGGACATTCCCATCCAGTGCCTAGAGGACGTCTAGGGTCCTAACTCCTAAACCCTAAGGCCCTAAACCTTATAAGCCCTGAGATCAGAACCCTCCTCAGTAAGGTCCAGGGTTGCAGGATCTTTTCGGCTTAGGGCACGGATACTTTGAGAGCACGCGCAAGGAGTAGCGAGGTCGCGGGCAAGGACTTAGGGCGTCGGACATGCAGGTTTGCGTGCTATCGCTGCTGAACACTTCTGTTCATACCTTTGGCAACGAGGGCGCAGCCATGAAGCCACTCTGCGTTGTCATGCTCGACTGAACCGGCTCCGTTCAGCTTCGCTTGCTCTGTATGGGTCTACGATAAGATAGGCCAACGGTTCAGGGTGAGCACGGCTCAGATTTCAGGCATAGCAGTTGCTGGGAGAAAAAAGGAGGCCTGGTAGCCCACAGGGCAAGCAGACGCTCTTCAAGGGCTGCGGTGCTCTGACGAAACGGAAAGGACGCCCCAAGGAAAGGGTTCCGGGAGGCCTCTTTCAAGCGCTGCAAGGCGTAGTCATTCAGTCGAGGCAATAAGCAACTTGATAAGAAGAGTTTCGAAATTTTGAAATCGGGTTGATGCGTGTCAACGACTTCGGAGGACGCGACGAACGTGGCAGCGGAGCAGCCCCACGCGCTGGCAGTGTCGGCGCCAGGCGGGGGGTGTCATTAGAAGACGCTGGGGTTTTGGGGCTTGGGTTCAGGGTTCAGGGTTTTGAGTTTAGTAAACCCGAAGCTTCATGTTTTGAGGCCTTAGAGGATCACCTCGTTTCAACCCTACTTATGACCCTGCTCGCCTGAAGGAATCCTGGCGGGCCTGCTGGGTTATGAGGTTGACTAGGGTTTAGGGCTTTAGGGGTTTGTAGGATGTAGCAACGTAGGGCAATGTAGGGTCATGGAGGGAACCCTGCACCCGAAGCCCTAAAACCCTACACTGCGATCCGCAGGCCCCACGATGCTGGACACCAACTGGCTCGTTCAGAAGCGGGACTTGGAAAACAAGGCTGGCAGATTCAGGGAAGGCATTGTCCCTGAACGCTTGGCCCTGGTAAGCCTTGAGGCCTAGACCCTAGACCCTAAACCCCAAACCCTAAAAACAGAACCTTAAACATTGAGATATTTGGGATTAAGGCTTTCATTTAGGAATTGAAGGAGGGACCTTAATCAGATATTTTGCAAATCGAATTATTACAATGATCCGAAGCACCGATTAGTTGATGCATCAATCTCGGCACCCCCTAATTTTCGATAAAATTCTTGGTCTAAATATCCCCGAATTGTGTTGGATGTGGCAATGACTAGTCCTTTTCAATGTTTTTTTCATAGTTGAATAATCACAATGAAAAGGGGTTCCGAGTTGCCACGGCACATATCTTTGTGATGCCCAAAATATTTTCAATCTTGCCCTAAACCCCAAACCTAGACGCTAAGCCCTTTACGGGGCGCTAAGCCCTCGAAGGCCTAAGCCCTAAGTCGGATTTGGAAGCTTCTTGGGCCCCCACGTAAATTCCGCAGCTCCCGAATCGTAAGTATTCGCGCTCAGGGTTCAGGGCTCGGGGTTTAGGGTTCAGGGTTTAGGGCTCAGGGTTTAGGAAAGTTCATGTAGACCGGGAACCTAAAACCCTACTCCTTTTCTGGTAAAGAAAGGGGGGACCTGAACCCTCCGCCCTAAACCCTGAACTTACCTCAAACCTTTGCTTTGGTGGCTCGGGGTCTTCGCCCAATCTTTGCAGCTGCCCCTGAGCTAAACACCAACCTCAAACCTTGAACTCTACACACCAGACCCTAAACCCGAAGCCTTAAACCCCAAACCCTAACCCCAGACCCTAAACCCTGAACCCCAAACCCTAAACCCTAAACCCTATAAACCCTACAAACCCTATAAACCCTCTGAACCCTATAAACCCTACAAGCCCTATAAACCCCAAAAGCCCTGAACCCCCCAAATCCTGAACCATGAGCAATGAACCAATGTGAACTCACCAAGCCCGACATCCTGGGTGCTTGGGCTGTTGAGTTCAAGGCTTCCTTGTTCCACCCTAACTCCTGACCCCCAACCCCTAAACCCTAATCCCTAAACCCTAAACCCTAAACCCTAACCCCTAACCCCTGAACCCTGAACCCTAAACCCGAAACCCTAAACCCTAAACCCTAAACCCTAAACCCTAAACCCCTCAACCCCTAAACCCTCAGGCTCAAACCCAAACCTCAAGCAGGTCGAAGCGAGCCGCCAGGAACGCTACAGAAAGTTCGTGCCGCGACCGGCTGGGGGGGGTCTTTCGGGCCTAGGTCGGGGTTTGGGGCTGAGTTTTTTTTTTTGGGTTCAGGGCTTAGGGATTTGGGGGTCTAGGGTTTACGGCGAAGGTTTTGGCGTTTTTTTTGGGGTTGAGGGCGGAGATTAGGGTGTGTGAGGGTGTCTGGGTTTAGGTTTGAGGTTCAAGATTAGGGGGAAAGACAAGGGCTGTCAATGGCCCTTTAGGGCGGAGTGATTAGTGTTTTTGGGGTGTCAAGGTTTGGAGTTTAAGGTTCAGGGCCTTGGGCTGTAGGATCAATGTTAGGGTTAAGGCCAAAGATTAGGGCTAGAAGAAGATGGGTTTTCAACGAGTCTTTGGAGTTTCAGGATTTGGGGTTTCAGGGCTTCTGGGGTTGTAGATGAACCCTAAACTCCTAGAGCCCTAAACCCTAAGCCCTAGCCAAGGCTTCCGAGGCGACCAAGGAGGAGTCGGAGAAGGCCGCCCGGGTCAAGGCGCGCCTGGGGGAGGGAACAATCAAAGCGCCCCTTAAAGGTTAGGGTTTAGGGTTTAGAGTTCAGGGTTTTAGGGTTTAGGGTTAAGAGCTTAGGGTTTAGGGTTTAGAGTTTAGGGTTTTCGGGTTTAGGGTTTTCCGCTTTGGGGTTTCAGGGTTTAAGGGGTTCAGGGCCCCAAAGTCACAAACGCGGGGTTACGCTACAGGTTGGGTTTAGGAGGCTTAGGCTCTGGGGCTTTGGGGCTTTGGGTTTTTTTTGGGGTTTTGGCGTTTTGGGGCTTTGGGGCTTTGGGGCTTTGGGGCTTTGGGTTTTTTTGGGGTTTTGGGTTTTTGGGGCTTTGGGGCTTTTGGGCTTTGGGGCTTTGATTAAGCGTTTCGACGCACGAAAGTCACAACAGCCTAAGCAGACCAATCAAGTTGCGAAGCCCCATTAGACGGGCTCCGGAAATTAGGCCCTTTGTGGGAGCTCCCTTATGAAGAGGGGGGGATTCTACGGCAGTTGGGGGCCGAAGGGTGGGCCCCCCATGTGTTGGAAACTCCCACTTCTTCCCAGCAGCAGCTGTCAGGGTCGGGTTTCGTGCATTGAAGTGGCCCTAAATCCTTAAAAAGCGCAACGTTAGAGCTCCAAACCCAATCCCTGGCCCTCCACGCCCAACTCCCCCAAGCTCGAGAACTCTGAATGCTAAAACCCCAAACCCCCGACCTTAACAGCCTTGAAGCTTCCCTTCCCGTCCCTTCCGGTCCCTTCCCGTCCCTTCCCGTCCCTTCCCCCCCCCCCCGTCCCTCTAAAAAGAAGCATCTCCCTGAACCCTTGAAGACCTGTAAACGCTAAACGCCCTCGAAACCCTGAAGCCAAAACCCAACCCCACTGTTGCAGGAAGCGCTCGAGCAGACGGAGGTTTTGCGACTCGACCTCGAGGTACGGCTCGGGGTTTGAGGTTTAGGGCTTTGGGGCTTAGGGTTGAGGGTTTCAATCCCCAAACCCTAAACCCTTAACCCTAAGCCCTAAGCCCTAAGCCCTAAGCCCTAAGCGCTAAACCCTAAACCCTAAACCCTAAACCCTAAACCCTAAACCCTAAACCCTAAACCCTAAACCCTAAACCCTAAACCCTAAACCCTAAACCCTAAACCCTAAACCCTAAACCCTAAACCCTAAACCCTAAACCCTAAAACCCTAAACCCTAAACCCTAAACCCTAAACCCTGAACCCTAAATTTAAGAGCCTCCGGCTCAAGCCGACGACCCCGCTGGAGCATAGTTGAAAGGTTTAAACGCGCTCGTCAGCTCAAAGGATGCCAAAAGTTGATTTGCTTGAGCCTCTGTGAAACGTTGGGGGGGGGGGTAGGGGGTAGCACCAGGACCCAAACAGGAGCTGAAGCCAGCTTGAAGGAGGGCATCAATTCAAGCCCAACAAACAGGAGAGGGGGGGAGGGTGGGGTGGGGGGGGGGGGGGGGGTTGGGGGGGGGGGGTTGGGGGGGGGGGGTAGGGGGGGGGGGGGGGGGAAGGCAGGGGGTTTTTGGTGGTGGGGGGTGGGGGGGATGGAACCCCCCCCGCGTTTTTGGGGGGGGGAAAGGGGGAAAAGAGGGAGGTTTTCACCTCCTTTTCCCATCCAACACGCCGCCAGGGTCGGCGGACCCTAAACCCTAAACCCTAAACCCTGAACCCTAAACCCTAAACCCTTAACCCTCAGCCCTGAGCGCTAAACCCTAAACCCTAAACCCTAAACCCTAAACCCTAAACCCTAAACCCTAAACCCTAAACCCTAAACCCTAAACCCTAAACCCTAAACCCTAAACCCTAAACCCTAAACCCTAAACCCTAAACCCTAAACCCCCTAAACACTAAACTACCCCCTAAACCCTAACCCTACCCTAAACCCTACCCTAAACCTAACCCTAAACCCTAAACCCTAAACCCTAAACCCTAAACCCTAAACCCTAAACCCTAAACCCTAAACCCTAAACCCTAAACTGCCGAGAGCGCCGCTGTCCATATGCATGGGCGCTCGAGGCTTCGACCGAGGTCCCCGACCGAGCGTCTCCACAGAACGGTGAGGGAGGGTAAAGCCTCCCGGTAGACGAGACGGCAGTGAGGGCGTCAGCCCTTTTTTTTTAGGACCCCAAACCTGCGACCGTTGATGTCTTTTAGTGTTTTTTACGGGGGTCAGGGGGGTACCCCCCGGGGGGGTCTGGGGCCCGGGCTGGCAGATTCCGGAGACCCCCCCTGCCGGGGGCGGTCCAGGGGGGCTCCTGCAGCGATTTTGCCTCCGATTGTTGTTTTTGGGTGCTTTCGACACTTCTGGGCTGGGACCCCCCTGGGACCCCCCTGGGACGCCCCTGGGACCCCCCTGGGACCCCCCTGGGACCCCCCTGGGACCCCCCTGGGACCTTGCTGCGACCTCCCTGGGACCCCCCTTAAGACCCCCCTGAAACCCCCCTGGGACCCCCTGGGACCCCCCTGGGACCCCCCTGGGACCCCCCTGGCACCCCCCTGGACCGCCTGAGACCTGGGACCCCCCTGAAAACCCCCCTGGACCTTGGTTACCTCAAACAGACGGGCCTTTCTGGACCCCCCCCCCCACCCCCTTGGGACCCCCCTCAGACCCCCCTGACACCCCCTCCCAAGAATTCGCTCGGTTTTGGTCAAAAATCCAGAAAACGAGAGACCACCCAGAGCCGTCGATTTCAGTACTAAAAAATCGCATTTTTAACTGGGACCCGGGCCGATCCTGGGGTCCCCCTCATTTGGGGTGTTTTTGGCAAACTTTCCCTTTCAAGGGGGGGTCGGAGTTTGAGGCTAGGGGGGGTCTCAGAAGATTATTTTGCCTTTAAAATTGAAAAACACAACCCCCCCTTGACCAAAACTAGGCTGTGAAAAGGTCGCGGGGGCGGCCCTCCATCAGAATTGAGGGTTACAAACTCTGAAATATCCTGAAAAACATTGAAAAACCTTAAAAAACACTGAAAAATTCTGAAAAACCTTGAAGAACTTTGAAAAACTTGAAATCCCGAAGCCGGTGAAGGCTCGGTTTTGGTCAAAAATCCAGAAAACGAGAGACCACCCAGAGCCGTCGATTTCAGTACTAAAAAATCGCATTTTTAACTGGGGCCCGGGCCGATCCTGGGGTCCCCCTCATTTGGGGTGTTTTTGGAGGCAAACTTTCCCTCTCAAGGGGGGGCCGGAGGGCGCAGTTTTGGATTTATGAGGCCTCCCCACCCGCCAGGCTAGGGTTCCGGCCTCCCAGAGGGGCCTCCTGGGGCCTGAGCTGACAGGGTCTCATTTGCCCAGACGCGTAAGAAAATGTGGGTTTTTTAGTATTGCAAATCGACGGTTTTCCATTTCAAAAAGCAGGGCCGGCCGAGGCCCTGCTACTCCCGACCGTTTTTGCTGCCCTTTCAAGCCCGAAAATGTGGGTTCTTGGTATTGCAATTGATGGTTTTGGGCACCTTCCATTTTACTCCGTGAAAGCTCCAAGAAGCCTACGAGTCACTGACAGGCTCCATGAAGCTCGGGAGACCCCGCCCTGCTCTTTCTCTGTAAAAAGCAAGAAAGCCCCCCTTGAGGGGGGTTTGGGGGGTGAACCCTAAACCCTAAATGAGAATAGTTTGGGTGGTTGGGGTGGGACTACATGCTAACTAACGCAAGCGAGCGGCCCGGGTGCTTTTAGCACCAGCGAGCTTCCCTTCTATACACCCTAAACCCTAAACCCTAAACCCTAAACCCTAAACCCTAAACCCTAAACCCTAAACCCTAAACCCTAAACCCTAAACCCTAAACCCTAAACCCTAAACCCTAAACCCTAAACCCTAAACCCTAAAAACCCTAAACCCTAAACCCTAAACCCTAAATCCTAAACCCTAAACCCTAAATCCTTTACCCTGAACCCTAAAGAGCGACTCGAAAGGAGCGGCTGCGCCTGGGCCTGCGCCACGGCGATGCGGTCCTGCGGCTGGGCGCACTGTGAGCCAAGGTTTGAGAGGGCTTTTTTTTTTTTGGGGGGGGGGGCTTAGTAGGGTTTAGTTTTTTTTTTTTTTTTTGGGGGGGGGGGTTGGGGTTGGTTTAGGTTTTTTTTGGTGTTTAGGGTTTAGGGTTGAGGGTTTTTGGGGCTCAGTAGGGTTTATTTCTTTGGTTTTTTGTTTGTGTATATATATATATATGTATATATATATATACATATATATACATACATATGTGTGTGTGTGTGTGTGTGTGTGTGTGTGTGTGTGTGTGTGTGTGTGTGTGTGTGTGTGTGTGTGTGTGTGTGTGTGTGTGTGTGGTGTGTGTGTGTGTGTGTGTGTGTGTGTGTGTGTGTGTGTGTGTGTGTGTGTGTGTGTGTGTGTGTGAAAAATGGGATCTGTGTCACAAGATGGGCTTAGGGCTTAGGGTTTCGAGTTTGGGGTTTGGGGGATTAGGGTTTGGGGATAGGGTTTTGGGCGTGGGCTTTGTTTTTCGTTCCGCAGTTCAGGGTTTTTGGGCTTCACCTGAAGGGGCTGAAAGGGGGGACCTTTATCAGGGATCCTCGAGATTAGAGCCGATGAGTGGTTCAGGCAGCGAACCCACACTGCTTGCGTGTAACAGCAGTAAGAAGTCCCTCCGCCCCAGCGCATCTGCCTACCTGCTTGTGCGGTTTCTCTCTCTCTATTTGTCTGTTTCTGTCGTGTCTCTCTGACGGATGTATCAGACTTGCCAGCTGCAATCAAGGCTTCGGGCAGCCATTACGGAGACGAAGGAGCTTTTGAGCTCGTGTGTGAGAGGCTGAGACCCCAGCAGTTTTCTTTTTTTTTTTTTTTCCCTGCTTTCGGGTTCGGTTCCTGTTGCTTTGGCTGCATGGCAAAGGCATTCCCGAAGTCAGAGTTGCGCCCACAGCCCAATTCCCTGACCGGACTGGGGTCTCTGCCATGTGACGACTTCTCTTGAAGGCTGAGAGATCCTTGGTTAATTTGAGGTGTGGTGGGCTGCAAGGTTCGGTTGCTTCGTGCTGGCCACGGGCATAAGGCTGTCTGGGATGTGCTCGTCCCCTCTTGCCTTAACTTGCAGGAGCCAAAATCACGACCAAGATTATCCCCTTATCATCCGATATGAATAGAACATAAACGTGTAGGTCTTTAGGGTACTTGCAGGAGCTACTCGCGCAGAAATACCTGGCAATCGCACCGCCCTCGACGCTGAGCGCCTTGCGTCGAGCCCCTCGGTACCGACCAGGGAGGTTGCCCCGTGTTTCTCAACCCCAGCAAGGACTCTTAGTTCTAGTAAAGGGCCTCGCCTTTAACCACTAACCCCCAAGCCCTATGAAGCCCTTATGCCCTAAAGCTCCAAGCGCTAAAACCTCTGAACCAGTACTGGGCTCCGACGTTTGGCTTCTGGGCTCCGTTGGGTCTACTGGTCGAGCTGTTAACAGGAATGCAGTACCCCTTATTCTCATCCCCATGAAGGACTGTTAGTATGAGGGGGAACATGCCAAAGGTATCTGTATGTTAGGTGCCGAAATTCTTGGTGGGGCTTTAGGGGCTTCGGCTCCTGGGGCCTTCATCCTGAGTTCCTCGCCGAGGTTCTTGAAACTGCCGAGTCGCGCTTGGAGCAGTTCGATGCCATCCAGGCTGCAAGGGGGGTTTCTTAGGGATACGTGGAATTATTTTCAACTTTTGGGTACTATATTTCCTAAGAAACAGCAAAATCATATACATTAACCCCACTTCTAAGTGCCCTGCTTGCAATAAGTGCACATGAACCTTGAGATCAGGCTAGGTGTCCGCACCTATGGTTATCAGGGGGCCTCCGCCCGGTTTCCAGTGAAGTGCCTGGGGTTAGGGATTAGGGTGGTCTTGGGGGATGGAGCCCCAATGCCGCGCATGGAGAAGCAAGGGTACTCACACAAGCTAAATTCAGTGAAGGGGGGAAGGAGTATCAGGGCTTAGGGGGCATCAGGAGCAGCGTATGATTCTGGTTGCCCCAACGACCCTAGAAGCCCCAAAGCTTGGGATGCTCTCCTTTTATTTTAACAGTCCTTAATAGGGACTATTTATCTGGAGTACTATAGTCCCTATTATGGAGCTGTTAGTTTACGGTGGAACATCCCAAGCTAAAACCCAAGTGCGTTCCTTCCTGCTCCCTGTTCCCAGGAGTCGAGGCAGCGCGCGCAGGCCTCGCCAATTGGTTGACAGGTTCAGGGAGGCTGAGAGGTGCGAATTCCACTGTGCCCCCTAGAGCCCTAAAGAAGGGGCCCCCAATGCCTTTTGGGGGCCCCCAAAAGCTACTAGTTACTAGTTAGGGTCCCTATAGAACCCCTCAAAGATCTTCAAGAGTAGGGTTTAGAATTGAGGGGAGAACAAGGTTCCCTACTTGCCCCGATTAAGAGCAAGTAAGTGAAGCTCCAAGTGGGGCTAGTGGGGAGGAGTCACGAGATGTTTCCGCCCAAATCTTAGATCAACTCAAAGGCCCCCCCCCCAAGCCCTGAACCCCAAAGCCCCAACCCTACACCCTAAACTCATATGAAGCAGGGTAGATATTACTGTTATTGGTGAGTGTATATAAGGTTCCGTTTCAATATTGGTGAGTGTATATACTTGGTGGCCTTTTGGGGATACAAGAAATATAAACCCTACTTCATATCCCCCCAAGCCCTGAATGCTAAAATTTTCAGCGGTGCCAGGAGTACGCAGAGCGTGTCCGAACTGGCAAGGCGCACTCTGCCCCGGGGAAAGGGGTTTGGGGATTAGGGCTGAGGGTTTAGGGATAGGTGCAGGTTGCCTTCTCTCCGGCCGGGGAGGGGGGGGAGAGGTGGCATTCTGCAATTCCTCCTCCCATACTTCAAGGTTCATGGGCAGTTTTGCTCAGGGCTGTCGGTACCTCACTTGGGGTTCAGAGATTACTTGGGCCAGGTAGTTGTATAGGTAGTGTTATATGCAGAGTAGCTGTTCTTGCTTCGAAGCTAGGCTGCTGACTGGAAGATGACGTCCGCAGAGCTCACCCGCTACGTGGTCGGGTGCAATCCGGAGCGGGTGCAAGCAGGCCGATCCTGTGGCAGGGTTCAAGGGCTTCGGGTTTAGGCCTTTCGGGATCTTTGACGGTACCAGTATGGTACCCTTTCGGATTCGATGCAGAGTATTGTTGGAAGGGGGCAGAGCAGGGTACAGGAGATGCGGTCCAGACAGGTGATAGGGTTTTAATGGCTGCCTTACCTTTCCCAGATTTTTGGAAGGTGCACGAGGCTCCACAGTTTGGGGGGCGGGGAGGGCAAATGAATACGTGCATGCTGAATCACTTCCGGGAGGCCCAGACCGTCAGCAATGCCAACCCCATCGCCGGACAACCCCATTTGCCAAGAAAACGCTCGTTGCTACAAGTTACTTAGGTTATATTGTTTAAAGGCGTGGAGCAGTTTAGGGGCGCTTGGGGATTTGAGAGCACGGCGGGTTGGCGACCCTACACAAAAGACCTAATTACCTCAATCAACCCTAAACCCTAAACCCCAAACCCTAAACCCCAAACCCTAAACCCCAAACCCTAAGCCCTAAACCCTAAACCCTAAACCCTAAACCCCATCTCTCGCCCGAACCAACTTCGGTTTGCCAGGCCTCAAGGCCCAGCTGCCCGTGTTCCTTCGCTCCAGCGATGGACAGCGCTTCCCGGCTCAAGAGGTTCACGGTGTTTGACTGCTGGTTCTGAGAAGGGAATGAATGAGGCCTACAAAAAGCTAAAGCCATAAAGCACTAAACGCCCTGCAAGCCCTCAAAACCTTTCAAAACCCTAAAACACACACAAAAGAAAAATAGACTTAAAACCTTAAAACACGAAAAACCTAAAGCCCCAAAGCACTAAAAGCCCCCGTAAGCCAAAGCCGAGGCTTCACCATTCTGCACGACGCCTGCCGCGAAGCCTGCTTGGACGAGCCTCTTCTGACCAGCTCGTGGGGCGTTCGGGTGGAATTTTTGAACTTGGGACATTCCCCCCTTCTACTAACCGCTCCTTCATAGGGGAGTACCCCTCTGGTTAAAATCCTTATTAAGCTGTTAGTATAAGGGGGAACATCCCAACCCTGAACCCTCAAAGCCCGACTCCCCAAGCCCTTTCGATCGTTGCGAGGCTTCAGGGGCCCCGGAGCTCTTTTCTTGCCGTTTTTCAAATCTGAGGGTCTCAACCCCAAGGGTTTAGGGTTTAGGGTTTAGGGTTTGCAGCCTTTAACCCCCCCCCCCCCCCCCTTGAAGAGTATCCTGCTTGACTCCCAGGAGCCCAACAGCGAGAAGGCCAACAACCGCATCGAGGTGGGGCTCAGGGGACTACTGGGGGGTAAGAGACTCAGGGTTTGGGGCTTTGGGGGATGGAGGCGTGCAAGGGGTGTTGGTAACATGGTCATCCCGAATACTCGCCAGTACTGTCTGAGGCCCCCCCCCTTGGCTTCCCTGAGCTTCCCTGGAATCTCAGACCTTGCCTTATAGTTAGCAGGGCGCAAGCCCTAAAGGAGGCCTCCGCCCTAATCCCTGCTGGATGCCTGTTGAGGTCGTGCGGCTGTTGTGCGAAGCCCGGGCGAACAAGAATGCGGTGGACATGAAGCCTGGCCTGTACGATTTAGGGTTTAGGCCTCACCAGAAGCCCCAAACCTCAACCCTGAATTCCGAACCGAATAATTCTACTCGTTATTGTTGTCCACAACTGGTTGACCGTCATTCAACAATAGTGGAGGCTTCTTTCCTTCTGTGTCCTAGGTTACCAGAGAACCTACGTAAGGCATTCTTACACTAAGCCTTGAACGCTATACACCCGTGACCTAAACTTAGAAATCCAGATTACTGATGCACGGCCCAAGAGCTTGAGGTTCAAATCTGGGTTCGATGGTTTGAGCAAAAATATCCTAAACCTTACGCCCGAAAAATCCTACGCCCGATGCCCAAAGCCCAAACCCAAAACCCGAGGAAGGATCGGACGCCTTTGGATTTGGCACTTGCGCGGGCCCCAGCGAAGAACGCGCGCCAAAGTCGGGTTGAAGGTGTTCCGGGTTGAGGTGCCCAAAAAGGGACTGTAATTAGAGACAGCCCCCCCCCCCCCCTCTCCCCCTAACCCCGAAGCCCAAAAACCCTAAACCCGAAAGCCCGAAACATAAAACCATAGAAACCGTAAGCCCCAAACCTTCAACTCGAAAGACCAAAAAACCTAAACCCCGCTTCGGAAGAGGAGGAGGGCTCAACCCGAAACACCACCTCGGAGGTTCATGGGTAGCTACGTGCGAGGTTTCCGGGTTTTAGGGTTTTAGGGTTGTAGGGGTTTTTAGGTTTAGGGTTTTAGGTTTTAGGTTTTAGGTTTAGGTTTTAGAGTTTTAGGGTTTTCGGGTTTAAGGGTGTTTGGGGTTTAGGGGAATCAGCAATTCAAGTGGGACAAAACCTGTTGCGAGTTATTTCAACGCCCATGAGCCCTTCAAGTAGTGTTGTGGGCGAGCCCTGAACCTTGGAATTCAACCCCCAACCTTTCTTCCAACCATCGTAAGGATTACTTGGTAACCCCTCCCCCCCGACACCAAGCCCATACCCCAAAATAAGGACCCTGTAGGATCATGTGGCATACGTTTTGCGGATTGCGTTAACTTAAATCCCGAGCCCCAAGCACAATGCAAGGAGATGGGCGGGCCACGTGCCAAGCGCCACCCGTCGGTGCGCAAGTTAAAGGCCCGTGAGCGGGGTTTAGGGTTTAGGGCTCAGGGCGAGTTTAGGGCTTCAGGGGCTTCAGGGGCTTCAGGGCTGGTCTGAGGGTTTCCCTGAACCCTGACCCCTTGACCGTGCACCGGGAGAGGCTTCAGCACGCAGGGTTCTAGAAGGTTCCAGAAAGCCTCCCCCCTCCCCAAAGCTCGGCACGCCGGCCCCAAAACGCAAGCCCTAGGCCCTAAACCCTAAACCCTAAACCCGACAGCCCTAAACGCCAAAGCCCTAAACAACCCAGCATCCAAAAAGCTGAAACCTCGGCTTCTCAGCCTGACGGTCACCGTTTTGGGTTCATGTTGCTAAGCCCTTAAATGCCTTAATCCTAAACCCTGAAACCCTGGACCCTAAACCCGAAATAAACCCTAAATAACCCCCTGAATTATACCCAAAATCAACCCAAGCCCTAAGCCAAGCAGCGCCCGAGTCCAGGCCCTGGGCCTCCGCACTGCGGCGCAGGCGGCGCGCGAGGCGCGTGGCGAGGCCGTGGAGGAGCTCCTGAGCTTCGGGGGTGTTTTGAGGGGTTTTGAGTGGGGTTTAGGGGGGGTTTAGGGGGGTTTAGGTGTGTTTAGGGGTTTTGAAGGGTTTTGAGGGGTTTGGGTTTTGAGGGGGTTTGGGGTTTGAGGGGGCTTGGGCTTAGGGCCTTAGGGTGTAGGTGTTTTAGGGTGTTGATGGGGTTTTAGGGGATTAGGGTTTAGGCGTTTTAGGTGTTTTCGGGGTTTTAGGGTTTCAGGTTTGGGGTTTGGGGTTTAGGTTTAGGGTTTGGGGTTTGGGGGGTTTGGGGGATCGAGGGGGTTTAGGGGTTTAGGGTTTGGGGTTCAGGAGTTTAGGGGTTTAGGGTTTAGGTTTGGGGTTTCGGGGTTTGGGGTTTAGAGGTATGAGCCTTATGTGCCATCGATCCAAAACACCGAAAGCCCCACACAATGAACCCTCAAATCGCACAGAAACCCTCAGTACCCACACCCCTAACTGAAACCCCCTAAGTCAAAAAGCTTCTAAACACCCTTAAGCGCTTAATAAGCCCGAAGCACCAAAGCCCCTAAACCCCCAAACCCGAAACCCTAAAACAACCCCCTGAACTGATTAAACCCTAGCCCTAAAGCCCCCAAACCCTCAACCCTCAACCCTCAACCCTCAACCCTCAACCCTCAACCCTCAACCCTCAACCCTAAACCCTAAACCCTAAACCCTAAACCCTAAACCCCCTAAAGCCCCCCTAAAGCCCCCCTAAAGCACCCCTAAAGCCTTCCACTTCTGCCCAAAACAGGAGTCCGAGGAGGAGCCCGAGGAGGCCGAGCCGGCCGAGGCCCCGAGGGAGCCCGAGGAGCCCGGGGCGCCCAGAGGATGGTCGGTGAAGGGGGGGGCTGGGGTTTAGGGTTTAGGGTTTAGGGTTTAGGGTTTAGGGTTTAGGGTTTAGGGTTTAGGGTTTAGGGTTTAGGGTTTAGGGTTTAGGGTTTAGGGTTTAGGGTTTAGGGTTTAGTTTTTTACAGGTTGCTTACTGTGGACTGAGTCCCCCTAGAGCGGGTTGCATGGGGTAGCAGGGAGGTGACACGAGAGCTGCGCAATTCACTCCCCACCCCCAAGTTTTTTAGGTCATATATTCCGGTCATTGTATCACCACCCTAAGGTTTAGCATTCATCACGGCTGCAGAATATCATATCTTCGGGTAAAAAACAGGGCTGCGGCAGAGGGCGTGCGCGCTGAGAATCGTGTTGATGACGTTTGGGGCTTGGTGTTTTGGGGTCGAGCGACCATCATCCTACTGCTGGAGAGTCGGGAATGACAGGGGGGATATGATGAATGATGATTCAAGATCACGATTCTTTATCTTTGTAGTTACCATCACTACCCTCCTTCCTTCCCTATCAGCAAGAAGTCGTCGGGAGCCATGGCATGCCCCACTGCTTTTGAGACCTATGGGGGTTTGCGATATTGTGGGGGTGCCTTTTTTGGGGGGTCCCTTTAAGGAGATAAAAAAAAGGGGTACCCCTATTTGGGGAAATGCCCATAGGAAGATCTACCACTCTAAATCCTGCCTGGCTTCCTACCGCTCTGCGCCTCCAACCTCGGCTGGTACTGTACCTTCAACACTAAAAGCTGACATCCACGCACTTTCGTGATTCCTACACAGAAGCCCCGAAATCCCAAAAGCACCTTAGAGGGCTTGGGGGGGGGGGGCTGGGGTAAGCCCTGAAACTCCAGACCCTCTAAGTTCTACTAGCTACAAAACCCTCTACCCTAGTGCCCCCCTAAACTCAGAACCCTGAACCCGAAACCCGAAAAACCCTGAACCCCCTAAACTCCCTAAACTCCCTAAACCCCAAACCCTAAGCCCTAAACCCCAAGCCCTAAGCCCTAAGCCCTAAGCCCTAAGCCCTAAGCCCTAAGCCCTAAGAAACCCTAAACTCCTGAACCCCCAAAACCTCGACATGAACCCGAACTCTGAGGCCACTGCTTGCGCCTGCACATGCCGACGTGGAAGTTGCGGACGTCGCTGCCGAGGAGCCCCCTCGACATGTCCTTGCATATGGGCCCTTAGGGCTAATTTAGGGTTTTAGGGTTTGGGGTTTAGGGTTTAGGGTTTAGGGTTAGGGTATAGGGTTTAGGGTTTGGGGTTTAGGGATTTAGGGCAAACCGTAAACCTAAGCCCTGCACGATTCAAGGCTTCAAGGTATGCAAGGTTTTCTTGAGGGACGTCTAAAGTTTAGTGTAGGCTCCGAGATCACCTGGAACAAGGCCTGCGTACGACTTCAAGCGTGTAGAGGATCCAGAAGTTTGATAAAGGTCGTCGAGCTTCGAAGTTGTGAGAGACTACTTGTGCGGCCAGAGGGGTAGGGTTTGGGGGTTAGAGTTTTGGGTTTAGGTTGAATGAGTGAGCCAAAGCTGACTTGAGAATACTGTTGAACTGTTTTTCGCTGTGACTTCTGACCCCTGAGCGCCCGCAAATTTGCTTGGTCCCACAAACACACTACCGCCCCAACCCTGCTACCTTCACTGTAGGTACTGAGGGCGTAGGCTATAGGCTCGAAACGCCAAACCCTAAACCGTAAATCCCAGACCCCCAACCCGAAACCCTAAACCAAACCCTACATCCTAGACCCCAAGCCCTCAACCCACAACCCTAAACCCTACCCCCAGACCCCAAACAACCCCAAACCCGAAACCCCCGAAAACCCCAAAACCCCCTCTAAATACCCTAAACCCACTAAACCTCCCTAAACCCCCTGAACGACCCGAAACCCTAAATTGAGCAATTTTTGAGGAGGAGCCAACTGGGCCCAGGTCCTTCGCGCCTCCCGTGCCAGAGGCACTCAAGCAGTCCTCGGGTCGGGTTTAGAGCTCTAGCGGTGCAGGGTTAGGGTTTAGGGTTCAGGGTTTAGGGTTTAGGGTTTAGGGTTCAGGGTTCAAGGTTCAGGGTTTAGGGTTTTGGGGCTTAAGGGGCTTAAGGGGCTTAAGGGGCTTAAGGGGCTTAAGGGGCTTTAGGGGGTTTAGGGGTTTAGGGGGGTTTAGGGGGTTTTGGGGGTTTAGGGGTTTGGGGGGTTTACAGTCGGGGGTTTAGGGGTTCAGGGGCTTTAGGGTTTTGGGTTTTCAGGGTGGAGGTTTCCGCGCCGTGGGTTTACGGTTCCGAAGCTTACACCCGAATTCAATTCCTAAACCCTAAAACCCTTGAAACCCCTAACCCCCCTAAACCCCAAAGAGCCCTGTTCTGAATTCCCTAAACCACTAAACCCCCTAAACTCCCTAAACCACCCTAAACCCCGTAACCTCCCCAACTAGGCGGGCCCTTTCCCTTATTGGGTTTAAGAATGTCCTTTTCAGGAACCCCCTCAACTCTGAACCCCAAACCCTAAACCCTAAACCCTAAACCCTAAACCCTAAACCCTAAACCCTAAACCCTAAACCCTAAACCCTAAACCCTGCACCCTAAACCCGAAACCTTTTTTCAGAAGGTTTTTTCGGGCCATCCTGGCACTAAACCCCCGAAACCCGAAGAGCCCTGCTCTAAATTCCCAAAACCCACCAGAAGCCACCCTAAACCCTAAACCACCCTAAACCCTAAACCACCCTAAACCCTAAACCACCCTAAACCGTAAACCTCAAGCCCTAAACCCTAAACCCTAAACCCTAAACCCTAAGCCCTACACCCTAAACCCTAAACCCTAAACCCTAAACCCTAAACCCCCAAAGAGCCCTTGCAGGGCGCCTCGCCGAGTCCCGCCAGCTGAGGCACGCACGCGGCGCCAGAGGCTTGCTTCTTAGGATGGTCTGGGGTTTGCGGTTTAGGGTTTAGGGTTTGGGGTTTAGGGTTTAGGGTTCAGGGGGTTTAGGGTTTAGAGCTCAGGGAGTTTAGGGAGTTTAGGGTTTAGGGTGGTTTGGGGAGTGTAGGGTTTAGGGGTGTTTTAGGGTGGTTTAGGGAGTTAAGGTGGTTTTGTAGGGAGTTTAGGGTTTAGGGTGGTTTAGGGCCATCATCAAACTGCGGCGGCAGGAGGATGTCACCCGACGACAAGGTTGAGAGTTTTAAGGTTTTTGAGCTTGATGCCTGGTTTGTGGATTTTTTGGGTTGCGGATTTGAGGGTTTAAGGTTCAGGTGTTGGCGAACTCAGCCCTAAACCCTAAACCTTGAACCCTAAACCCAGGGTTTTAGAACTCGGGTTTACAATTCGGGGTTTACGAACCCGGGTCGCCTACCCGAAAGAAGATGGCGCCGTTGGGGGGTCGAGTAGCCTCTGGGCAGTGGTCCAGCCTGTTAATGCTTCGCTGACGCTGCTGAGCCGACCCTACACCCTATACCCTAGACCCTAAACCCTCAACCCTAAACCCTAAGCCCGAAACCCGAAGCCCTAGACCCCAAACCCTAAACCCTGAAGCTGGACCCCAAATCGCACAGTTTAGGGCTTTAGTCCTGGGCTCTAGAGTGCTCGATCGTTCCTTTACTATATGAAGTTAGTTTTTCCAGGTGTAGGGTTAAAGTTTCAAGGCTTGGGGCTGCCTCTTAGGGTTTAGGGTTTCAGAACCCTAGATGCGTCGACTCCCAAGCCCTCGGAGCCCTACTGTAAGCTCTTGAACCTTTAAACCCTTACACACACAAGAACGCTTCAGCCTTTACACCCCTAGACCTTAAAGCCCCTAAGCCTCTCAAGCTCCGAGAATTTCCAGCAGTCCGTGGGATGCCCAGCTGCGTCAGCTCCAAAAGTCTCACAGCTCGCGCTGCTCCTCCTTGAGGGAGCCAGAAAGCAGCGCTGTTTTTTGGCGATGCAGGTTCCGGGTCATAGGGGTTGGGCTTTTGGGAGCTATGAAAGCCAGAGTTGCTACAAACCAAAAACCCAAACCCTGAAAACCCCAAAGCTCCAAACCCCACAACCCCAAACACCCCACAACCCCGAAAACCTAGACCCCAAACCCAAAACTCCCTGAACCCCCCCCCCCCCCCCCAAAGCCCTTAAACCTCACAGTGCAACACTACTGCAGTCCTAATCCCAAAACTCTCAAAGCGCTCAAAAATGTCTTCTGACATGTGGCTATTGGGTAAGGCACCTGCAGGCACACAGCCCTGTGGACACGTGCTCCATGGGTGTAGTAGTCGTAGGCTAGAGGTCCTGGGAAGCTGTTGGGCTCTCTGGTGCAGAGGGGTATAGTAGGGTTCAGGGCTCTTTTCGGAGTTAGGGCTTGTGGGTCCGGGGGTCTAGGACTCGAGGTTCTGCTTCTGTCAGCCTATTTCGCTTCCCGGGACTGGTAGGACGCGTGCATGAGAGGTTTCACCCCGCCCAGGAAAGCGAACAAAAGAGTCCAAAATGGGAAGCCCTTGTCCCATACTGTAGCCCTGAGCCCGCACACACCAAACGTGCGTTGCACCTGCGCCTTACACCCCCCTAAGCCACTTACATGGGCCCTATCGCCCGCATTTTTGCAGCCCAAAGCGCCAAAGGGCCCTAAGCCCCACAAGAAGCCGGGCTTCAGGGGAGTCTCAGCGTTTGCGCTTTTTTAGGGCGCTTCAGCAGGTTTCGGGCTTCGGATCCCGTCTAAGCAAAGAGCCTATAGTCCCTACACCCCCAAGCTCCCAAAACCCTGATCCCCCACCCTTCCCGGCAAAGCGTCAGGCTGGTGAAGTTCAGGATCCTACTGGAAGGTTCAGGGTTTAGGGTTTAGGATTTAGGATCTAGGGTTTAGGGTTTAGGGTGCCTCCTTTGTAGGGCGCAACATTCAACCCTACACCTGTGGGGGTTCTGAGGCCACACGCTCTATCCGACAACGACCACGACCTGGCAGTTACACTGACTGGGTGGACGAGGGTTTAGGGTTTAAGCCCTAAGCCCTAAACCCTAAATCCTAAACGTTAAAAACCAGCCAAGGGTGCAGGGTTTTGTGGTGGGTTGTCCTGGGGCCCCTGAACCCCTGAACCCAACAAACCTCCAGAACACTTAAGCTCATCAATATACCCCTAAACCCTAAACCCAAAACCCTAAACCCTAAACCCTAAACCCTAACCCTAAACCCTAAACCTCGGTGTTTTGGGGGATCTTAAGCTTGGGAGCTTAGCGTTTCAGCGCGGGCCGTCGACAAGAGGAGGGTCCCCAGAAAGAGGGTCGCTACCTTCAAAGCCGTTTTGTGTTCAGGGTTTAGAGTTTAGGGGTTGAGGGCTTAGGGTCCCCAGAAAGTTACGGTTTGCAACTTGTAGTACGGCACACATGATATGAAGTAAGCATTCCTCAGTTGAGGGAATCCGACACTTTGGATACATCGAAACTGTAGCCTGCAGCCTAATGATTGTAGTCTGTTGGCTTGTTGGAGGCACCCCCAAACCCTGAACCCTAAAGTAAACACTAAGCCCTAAACCCGAAACCCAAGCTAAACCCCAGAACCTGAGCCATGTGATTGTGGTCTACAGGCTTGTTAAGGCAAAGTGCAGATACTCGTCGACGATCGCGCACGCGTTCCACTGCGCATCCATGCAGTTCAGATCTCACTGGGATCTGATGTAATGTTTGTTCAATGTGCAAGAGACGGGCCATGTGGTCAGTTCTCGAAAGCATGGCCCCTTTCGGGTCACTGTCGTGATACGCCATTCTTATACCATATGAATACACATTCATAAATACAAGCTACATTTATGGAGAGTGGTGTACCTTGTATCATATCGCGTGATTATTGCATCACATTCTGGGATGCTCCCTCAGAAATCGACCGTGAATTTGGAGACCTGGCCATGTACCAAGAGCCCTCGCCCTTGCAGTACCAACATGTAAAAAAATACTGGCCTCCCGGGTCGCGTGTGTGAATTGAACCCTTAAACCCTAAACCCGTTTAGGGTACAGCAGCAGCTCAGGGGGTTTCGGGTTTAGACCCTAAACCCTAAAATCTAAACCCTAAGCCCTAAGCCCTAAACCCTAAACCCTAAACCCTAAACCCTAAACCTTAGAGTTAGCGGACCTCACAGGCCTTCGCCAGTCCCCATCTGCGCAACGTTCAAAGCAACTCTGCCAAAGGAGGCGCAAAAGACTCCGGTTCAGCAGGGCATGGGTTTCGGGTTTTAGGGTTCTAGGGTCTTAGGGTTTTAGGGTTTCAGGTTTTGGGTTTAGGGTTTCAGGGTATAGGTTTTTTGAGTTTTAGGGTTTAGGAGATCAGGACTTCTTGAATGAGGGAGGGCTTTGGCTGGCTCTTGTCGCATTTCGGAGCCCAAAACACTACACCCCAAAAATTTCGTCCTTCCTCCTGTCCCTTCAGGGGTTCACGGTCCTTCCACCGCCCAACCCTAAACCCTAAACCCTAACCCCAGGTGATCTTTGGGGGCTTTCGGCTTCAAGCCTCAACTCAGGTGGGGGGATTTTGGGTTTGGGGTTTGTTGAAGGGCAAGGGGGGCTGCCGGTTAGGGCTTGTTACAGGACACCTTCGCGCTTGCAGGGCTTTACCCCAAACCCTGAAACGTCAACCCAAAATCCTAAACCCAAAAGGATTTAGGCACGTAAACCCGAAACCCTCAACCCGAAACCCTAAACCCTAAAGCCGAAACCCTAAACCCTAAACCCTAAACCCTAAACCCGAAACCCTAAAGCCGAAACCCTAAACCCTAAACCCTAAACCCTAAACCCTAAACCCTAAACCCTAAACCCTAAACCCTAAACCCTCAACCCTCAACCCTCAACCCTAAACCCTAAACCCTAAACCCTCAACCCTAAGCTGAAACCCTAAACCCTAAACCCTCAACCCTAAGCTGAAACCCTAAAGGCTAAACCCTCAACCCTCAACCCTAAGCTGAAACCCTCAAGGCTAAAGCCTAACGCCTGGCATCCGCCGCGGTAGGCTCAAGGTTTGTTTGGGCAGGCGGCTGGGGTCCGGTTCCCCCTCGCTGCGCAGATTGCCCAAGGCTGAGGGACCTCCGCAGTCAGGGCAAGAAACAGCAGGGGTTGGGGCTCGAAGCCCTAAGCCCTAAGCCCTAAGCCCTAAGCCCTAAGCCCTAAGCCCTAAGCCCTAAGCCCTAAACCCTAAACCCTAAACCCTATACCCTAAACTTCCCAAAGCCTAAACCTGGTTCGGGGTTTTGTGGGCTAGGGTTTTTGGGTTTTGGGCCTCAGGGGTCCCAAGGGGTTTGACAGCCGGTGCTAGAAGTCGGGCGACTCTAGGTAGCACTGGTTATCACCTCAGTTGGGTACTTACAACCCTATTTGCAACCAACCAAGGCTTTGGGGCTTTCAGGAAGCTCAAGGTTCTAACCCTCCCCCTCCGTCCTCCCTTAAGAACCTTGCAGCCCCTAAACCACCCTGAACCCCTCTCATCCACCGCTCGCTTCGAGGTTGGCGCCCCCCAACCATGGCCGGAGCGCCCCCAGCGTTGGCCACGCGGCTGAGGGATCGGTGCATCTTGGGGCTTCGGCCTAGGCTCAGGATGGTCCCCTCCCTAAACCCTGAACCCTAAACCCCAAACCCTAAACCCTAAACCGCCTAAACCCTAAACCCTAGACCCTTTTTGTAGTTGCATTCTTTAACCCCCCCACTGCATTCGGAGTCCTCAGCCGTAAGCACCCGAGCTCCCACATCTTTCTCTTAGGCCTCTTCAACCTCTTAAACCTGTTGATCCTCTTCAAACTGTTAAACCTCCTAAACCCCATAACCCCCCAAAGCCCTGAAGTCCCTAAAGCCCCAAGAGATCCCAAAGCCAAGTCCCAGGTCCCTCCTCCTCCAGCAGCCCTACCTCCCAACTTCAGTGCGCTCCTGGCGCAACAGCAGCAGCAGCCCTGCCGACGACGCTTTCAAAGAGAGGGCTTCTGTTTGGAGGGGGGGGGGGGGGGGGGGGGGGTTCGGTGGTTTTAGGGGTTAAGGCCCTAGGTCTAGACTTAGGGCTAAGGGGACCCTGCGCAGATTCCGAACTACACGGGCTTGAGCCTGGATGCAGACAAACGCCTGACCTTGAGCTTCTAGGACTTCTGCACCAGCTTGCCCAAAGACCTCGCGCCCTAAATCCTAAACCGAAGCCCTTACGCGAAGCCCTGCAGGGGATCCCTGAGGAAGCCCTAAGCCGTCTAATCTAAGCCCTATGAACCGGTAGGGTTTAGGAGTTAGGGTTTAGGGTTTAGGGTTTAGGGTTTAGGGTCTAGGGTCTAGGGTCTAGGGTTTCGGAATTAAGGTTTAGGGTTCAGGGTTCAGGGGAAACCCTAAGCTCCACTCCCTAAGCCCTATAGGCTTTAGGAGGACCCATGTTGCGTCAGCTGCCAGGCAGCAAAGCCAAGCTGCTGGACTTGCGGCGGTGCTTCAGTCGCGCACCCAGGGCCTAAGCACCAAAACCCTAATTCATGGGCTAGAGGAGGGTTTGGGTTTAGGGTTTTGGGGTTTAGGATTTTGGGTACAGTTTAGGGCTTAGGGTTTTAGGGTTCGGGGTTTGTTTGGGTTTCGAGTTTAGGGCAAGCAGAGAGCACAAACAGGTGACCATCTCACGACAACTTTTGACGAGGTGGATGTTCGTCGTTTGCACCAACTTGTGACACATAGAGTTCCGATGCATGCAGCTTTCGGAAAACAAGTAGCTCCAACGAAGAAGAATGCAAGCAGTCAACAGCAGTCGTCTACAGACCACATGTCCAATACAAGGGTCGGAATAGTTGCTAGTCGTTCCCTTATGGTCCCTTCAGAATTCGATTTTTTAATCCCCCCCGCCACCCCAGAACAAAAAGCCTATTTTACGTATTGGGGCCCCCTATTTGACCCCTCCACCCTACACACCCCGCAACCCTGGGATGCGCCCCAGTAGTACCCCTCTAGAGCCCTCAAACTATGGAGGCAAACTCCAAATCCTTCCGAAAAACAATCCCCAAGCATGCCTCAACCCGTAGAATCCCTAAACCAAATTCCTGTGATCCCGACAACCAGCCCAAACCCTAAACACTAAACACCCTCAACCCCAAATTCCAAACCCTAAAAGCCCGAAAAAAAACCCTAAAAACCCTAAAGCCCCCAACACAATCCCTAAAAACCCTAAAAAAGTCCCAAAAAAACCCACCAAAACACCCTTAAAACCCTTAAAAGCCCTGAAAGCACCCCACATAAGGCGCGCCGCACCGGGCCCACCCGGGGCTCCCGGCTTCCCGGGAGGCGCGCCGCCGGCACCGCCAGGCGCGAGGGAGGGCTCTTTTTTGGGGGGAGGTTCGCAGGATTTTTGAGGGATTTCAGGGTTTTGAAAAAAACTCATTCCAAGGAGGACCCTTAGGTTTGTCGGATTTTTTTTCGGGTTTTCAGGGTTGGTTGGACGACCCTAAGCCCTATTGGGGGGAGGGTTTTTCAAGGTTTTCAGGGTTTAGGAGTTCAGGGTTTTCAGGGTTTTTCGACTTGCACGGAGGACCCTAAACCCTAGACCCTAAACCCTAAACCCCAAACCCTAAACCCTAAACCCTAAACCCTAAACCCTAAACCCAACTTGGAACCCGAAGTCCTTAAGCCAGAACCCTTCATGCCCTCGGCCCGAACCCGCCCCAGCCCCCAAGCCCTAATCGCGCAAACATTCCTACAAGCCCAAGGCCCGAACGGGCCCCTATACCCAAAGCTCTATGTCCTAATCCCTAACCCCTAAACCCTAGACCCTAGACCCTAAACCCTAAACCCTAGACCCTAAACCCTAAACCCTAAACCCTAAACCTTAAACCTGAACCCTGAACCCTGTAGCCAGCTGGCTTTGTGCATCTCTCTCACCGCCAGGCCTGGGTGCTCCGGGACTTGGGGGCCTTGGCCTGCCTCCGCTTTCTGGGCTGCCACCGCCGCCACCAGGTGCCTCGGGGGGTTGAGGTTTGAGGGGTTTAGGGTTCAGGGCACCTTAGGTTTGAGGAGGTTTGGGGACTTTAGGTTTGAGGGGTTTAGGGGTCAGGGCACTTTGGGTTTGAGGAGGTTTAGGGGTTCAGGGCACTGTAGGTTTGGGTTTGGGGGTTCAGGGCACTTTAGGTTTGAGGAGGTTTTGGGTTGCGCAGACTGGCACGCAGGGCGAAACCCGAAACCCTAAACCCGAAACCCGAAACCCAAGACCCGACACCCGAAACCCGAAACCCTAAACCCTAAACCCTGAACCCCAAACTCTAAACCCTAAACCCTGAACCCTAAACCCTCCCCTGAGCCCTTTGTGTCAGGCTTAGGTGGCCTAGGCCTTCCCGGACTCGGAGGCTGGAGCGCATTCGGAGTTTAGGGGTTTAGGGTTTAGGGTTTAGGGTTTAGGAGGATAAGAGGGGGCTTAGGCGGTAAGAGGGGTCTAGGGGGTTCGGGAGTTTAGGAGTTCAGAGGGTTAGGGGTTCAGCTTCTTTTTTGGGCTGCTTTTGATTCGAGTTCAGGGTTTTGGTTTCGGGGTATGTTGGGGTGTTCTGGTATTTCGGGTTTTTGGGGGTATTTCGGGGCATTTGGGTATTCCTGAGGATTTCGGGAAATGTTGTGCAATTTCGGAACATTCATTTGGGGTTTTCGGGGTTTTCGGGGTTTTCGGGGTTTTCGGGTTGGGGGGAGGGGGGGTACCCCTTACCAAACTCACAAGCCTCTTGGCTCGGGTTTAGGTGTTCAGGGTTTCGGGTTTGGAGTTTTAGGTTTGGGGGTTTTGCATTTAGGCTATAAGGCTTCAGGCTTTGATTGTTTGAGGGTTTAGGATGCAAGGTTTCGGGTATATGGGTTCAGTGGGGTCAGCGTTTACTTTGCAAGGTTTCGGGTTTTGGTATTCTAGGCGTACAGGGTCCAGGGTGGAAGCTTTAGGGGTTGCAGGTTCAGGGTTTGAAGCAGCAGGTTAAGGGAACTAGGACTGCCCACACTCCCTGGTGTCATCTCAGGAGGAGTTCGTGGGGCCAAAGGCTCGACGAACGAGACGTCGATCATCGACTGCCCAAGGTTCAGGGTTTAGGATTTAGGGTTTGGGTTTAGGGTTTAGGATGGTTTAGGGTTTGGGGTTTGGGGTTTGGGGTTTGGGGTTTGGGGTTTGGGGTTTGGGGTTTGGGGTTTGGGGTTTAGGGTTTAGGGTTTAGGGTTTAGGGTTACGTCTACTCTCTGCAGACTGCCGCAGACAGTACATCCATCTCCGGGCCGCCACTGAACAGCATTCGGATCAGGCGCTCAACGACACGCACATCGAGATGATCTGCGCCTAAGCCCTCGAAGCCCTAAAAAAGCCCACAAGGTATAGGATGCTCCCCCTTTAACGAATAGTGCTTCATCGGGATTGTCCTACTACAATTCTATTAAGGACTGCTAGTGTTCTAGAAAAAGGGGGGAACATCCCACACTATGGAGCTCAAGGGCTCCTATGGAGCTCAAGGGCTCCTATGGAGCTCAAGGGCTCCTGAGAGTTTGGGATGCAGGGCTTAGGGGACTTGCACCCTGCCATGCCAGAAACTTGAGATTCTTCGTCGCCCGAAGGTCGACGTCGCCGCACCCCAAGTCCCAACGGCCACAAGGGTTTAGGATTTAGGGTTCAGCCGAAAAATCTACACTCTGAAGCCCGATGCCCTAAACCCCTAAGCTCTTAACCCCGAAGCCCTATACTCTGACACCCTAAATTACCCCAAACTTCCCTAAACCCTAAACCCTCAACCCTAAACCCTAAACCCTCAACCCTAAACCCTAAACCCTCATCCCTAAAACCCAAGCCGCCCAAAACCCAGAGATCATCGAAGCCGAAAGTCCCCTGGAAGCCCTCAGCCGCGCGAGGCTTCGCAGATCCCACGCAGCCAGCCCCCACTGGGCTTGGTGCTGTGGGCCAGGCAGCTGGGGTTTAGGGTTTAGGATTTAGGGTTTAGGGTTTGGGGTTTAGGGTTTAGGGTTTTGGGTTTGTGGTTTAGGGTTTTGGGCTTGGGGTTTTAGGACCCAGGGAGCTGATGGTGAGACAGGCTTGGGGATTCTGGTTTAGGGTTGCAGACTTCGAAAAACATCCAGGGTTTAGGCCTCAGGGTTCACATGTCAGGGTGCAGGAAGTTGAGGATTCAGGCTTGAGGGTTTTGATTAAGGGGGCTTGCGCAGTTCTTGTCCGTGCAGCCTCACGAGCTCAAGAAGCACGCGCCGTTTAACGATGCGGCCGCCACGGTCCATGGTTGAAGCCCGAGAGGTCAGGTCTAGGCTTTTCCTGCCTTGGTTGGGGTGCATGTTTCTTGCCTTGGTACGTTAGGTCGCATAAATTCCCCGCAGCTGGTTCAGGGACCCCTTGCGTTCCAAGCCCAAAATCCATAATTAGCCCGGGAGGGATAGGAACGAATGTTCACCTTGCCACGCACCACCAGAGGACCCGTTCAGTACAGTGGGGGTACAACCCCATAAGCCTTAGGCTTCTACCCTCGGCCCTCAACCCTCAACTCAACAATAAATCCTAAGCCCTTAACCCTTAAACCCTCAACTCTAAATCCTCAACTGTAAACCCTAAACCGCCAAAATCGTTCACCCTGGAACCCAGACGCCTTCTCCATTCCGGTGTAGTTTTCTTTTTTGGCCCCCCCCCCCCCGCCCCCCAAATTCTAAGGGGCGGCATCCCAGCAGGAACCCAGAACCACCCCGAAAGCCCTACACACAGAGCCCGGAACACAGCCCACCCTCCCCACCCCCCACACTCCCTACACACTCCAAACCCCCCTCCCCCCAAACTAACGAAGAACCCACAGTTCCCCCCTCGAAACAAAAGCAACCTTTCAAAGTCGATCTGGTCTCCAAACCTTGAACCGACAACCGTGGAAACGGGACAGCGACTTGGCATTTTCGCAGAACGCGTTCGGTGACGTGCCGTATGCGTGACTTGCGAAGACCACTTTATACGGTCCCGCAGAAGCTGCAGCGGCCGGTCCTTAAACACCCGAAGTCCGAAGCCCCAAGCCCTAAGCCCTAAGCCCTAAACCCTAAACCCTATACCCTATACCCTAAACCCCAAACCCCGAAGCTTTGTGAATGTTCGCCCACGGCCAGCTGCCACCGCCCGCTCCCCCACAGCTCGGGGTCACTGGGGCCCGGGGGCCCAGCGTCGGTCTCATTTGGGTCTCGGGCGTTTACAGATCAGCCGGCCGAGGGTGACAGAAAAGCTTGCCGGGGAAGGGCTCCACCAAAGGGGACTTGGCCAAACCTGAACCAACACGGGGGCTTAGGGATGTTAAACACCCGAACCCTATCAGACTCCTAACCCTAAACCCTCTAAACCCTAAACCCTAAAACCCTCAACCCTAAACCTCAACGAGACCCTGAGACCCTGAGCCCGAAAGCCCGTACTCGCCAAATCCCTAAACCACAAACTCAAAAGCCTTAGGACCCCCGAACCCCCAGAGCCCTAATTCCTAAACCCTCACCCCAGACAACACTAAACCCCAAAATCCCAGAACACCCTAAACCTTAAATCCTAAAACCGGAAAACCTTGCACTGTACCCCTTTCAACCCCAGAACTGTAATCCTAAGAAACCCTAAGAATCCCTGAGCTCTTACACAAACCCCAAAACCCTCAAACCCTCAAACCCTAAACCCCTAAACCTAAAGCCCCCAAACCCTAAAACCCTAAAACCTAAAACCCTAAAGCCCTGAAACCCGAACATCCTGAAGCCCTCAAAACCCCAAAATCCCTAAACCCTAAACCCTGAACCCTGAACCCTAAACCCCAAACCCCCAAACCCTAAACCCTAACCGGTTTAACTCTTTGCGGTCAGGGGGGTTTTAGGGTTCAAGGCTTGCTCGGATGTGCTCCTGAGCCTCATCGAATACTCCGGGCTTCCTCGGATGATTCCGTGTCTTCCTCCCCAGCCTACCCCGAAACCCTAAACCCTAAAACCCAAGCCCTAAACCCTAAACCCTAAACCCTGAACCCTGAACCCTGAACCCTGAACCCTGAACCCTGAACCCTAAACCCTGATTCTCGGTCTTCTCGGCCTTGGTCGTCAGCGCTCCTGGCGATCGCATGACTCTGGCCGAACAAGCCTAAGCTCTAAGCCAAACCCTAAACCCTAAACCCTAAACCCTAAACCCTAAACCCTAAACCCTAAACCCTAAACCCTAAACCCTAAACCCTAAACCCTAAACTCCTAAACCCGAAAACTCTGAAACAAAGCAGAAGCCCTAAAAAGCTATAAGCAGCTTAGCCTTGGTGGCCAGTGCTGCATGCGGGTCTTCTACATCACGGATCCCCCCTTGGAGGCCTACGAATACAGAGCCCAAGCAACACGAGACACCTGCACGGGGTGCGGGGTGTTGGGTTTTTTTTTGCGGATTTTGGGGGCTTGTTGGGGTTTTGCGTCCCGAACCCCAAAGACCCCAAATCCCATAATAGATCCGAAGCCCTAATCCCCAAGCCCATACCCTAAACCCCAAACCCTAAAGCCCTAAAATCTAAAACCCTAAGCCCCAAGCCCTAAAACCTCAGACCATAAAACCCTAAAACCCTAAAGCACTGAAACCCTTAAACCCTAAGCCTAAAGCAACTCGAACCGCCAAGGTAGCACCAGGGGCCCCTCAGCAGGTGCTTGGGCCAGTTTTGGGTTTTGAGGGTGTTTTTTTGATATACATATAAGTATTCTAAATGTAAATAAAAATATAAATATAAATAAATAAGTAAACAAATAAAAAAAGAAAAAAATATATATATATATATATATGTATATACACACAAGGGGCTAGGGTTTTCAGGTTTGGGGGGCTTCCGGGTTTTCAGGGGCTTTCAGTTTTTAGGGCTTTGGGGCTTTAGTCTTGTTTACGGCTTTAGGGCTTTAGTTTTAGGGTTTTCGGGATTCAGGTTTCTTGGGTTTTTGGGTTTTCGGTTAGGGTCTTCGGTTTGCAGGGTGTAGGGTTTCAGTGCGTTAGTTGTCTTTTGGATGTAGGCGAGCACCACACGGGCCTCGAGCGACGTCACCTGTGTGCACCGACCCACTCTGCAGGGTCATTTCACTCGGCCGCCGCTGAGTCATCAATGAATCTGAGGCGAGTGGCAACGCCACAAGGACGTGCACCAGAGAGCCGTCGCAGCAAAGGCCCAGGCAGAGAACCTCGAGACGCAGCTGACGCTGCGAGAGGATGAGGCGACGGCGCGGGAGGAATCCCGTGCCCGAGAAGACCCAGAAAGTATGAAGGTCCGAAGGTCCTGGCCATGAACCAGATCACCGTCCCGGTCTGTGGGGCCAGTCAGCCATAACAATAAGATAAACTTGCTGGACAAAGTGAATTCACATGGAATCCTTAACTTCCGCAATGATAATATACTGTCGGATGATACGAATAAAAACCCCTAAGAATAGTATTCTATTCATTCAATCATTCACTTCTTTAATCGTTTGTTCACTCATAGAAAACCTTCATGAACCGCCAACAAGACACCAGATAAGTAGTAGAGTAATTTGGACGAGAAATGAATAAGGATGGTGTGTGTTTTTCGGGTGTTCTTGCAAGTCTTTTATTGTACGCCCGAACGCAAAGAACAATTATAGCCTGCAACAAAGTAGGTTCTGAACCCTAAGCCCTGAACCCTGAACCCACACCCCACTTAACCCAAACCCCAAACCTCGAAACCTAAACCCTAAACTCAAGCCAAGAGCCCTAAACCCTCAACCCCACACCCCGAACCCCTAAACCGAAACCTTAAGCCACGAAACCCTAAACCCCAGGCCCTAAACCCTAAACCCACCCGAGCCCCTAAACCCAAGTCCCAAGCCCGAGCCAGGCTCTCAAAGGCCCTAAGGCCTAAACCCAAGCCCAAAACCTGTACGCCCGAGCCAGACTCTCAAAGGCCCTAAGGCCTAAGCCCTAAACCTTAACAGGGGTAGGTTTGGACATAATCCCTTATATAATCCTTACAAAGGCCATAAAGATTTAATGTTGATAGGGGGCCCATAAACCTATCCCAGAGAACCCTGACTTCCGAGGTTATGGTAGGGTACGTGATGTCTTCAGCCTTACAATGCCCCGAAGCATTCGAAAAAGGGTTCAGGGTACTCGGGTTGATTGTAAGAGCCCTAAGCCCTAAAACCCTAAACCCTACACCCTAAACCCTAAACCCTAAACCCTAAACCCTAAACCCTAAACCCTAAACCCTAAACCCTAAACCCTAAACCCCAAAAACCTTAAGCTCTCTCTCACACAGCCCTCCTAAACCCCACAGCCCCGAACCTTCGACCATCGCAGGTGCCGCCGGCCCCACCCCTCCTAAATCCTGGCGCGCAAGCCGCTGCGGCCGGGGCCCTACGCGAGTACAGGTAAGGGTGCCTTTTTGTCTTATTCATTTTGTTTATTTATCACTTTTCACTTTTTCACTTTTTTTGGGGGGGTGGGTTTTCAAGAGCTTGGGGCTGTTACGGTGCAGGGTTTTTAGGTAGTGTAAGACAAGAAAGGACCTAGGCGCTCAATCGTAGGAATCCCCTGCTTGATGGGTACTGTGTGAAGGGATCTAACTGCCGTTACCTTGCCTAGGATACTAGATACAACTACCCATGAACCTCCTTAAGTAAGCCCTCCTGTGCCTCTGTTTGCAGTTCTTAGGGGGGGGACGGCACCTCAAGCCCTACACCGTAAGCCTAAACTCCAAACCCTCAGGCCCTAAACCCGATTTCAACCCTAAACCCTAAATTATACCCTAAACCCGATTTCAACCCCCCCACCCCCCACCCCCCCCGCCCTTTGTTGGGAGCTTCGAAGGCGGCGCAGGCGGCTATCCAGAGTGCACAGGTCAAGGCGCGTTTCGCTCGAGGGGCTACCTTGGTTTAGGACTCAGACTTAGGGTTTAGGGTTTAGGGTTTAGGGTTTAGGGTTTAGGGTTTAGGGTTTAGGGCTTAGCATTTAGGATTTTTGGGTGCAGGGGTTGGGGGTTCGGGGGTTTCGGGGCCTTGGGGGGTGTAGGCAGGAACTTTAGGGTTTGAGGGTTCATGGGGTTTAGGGCTTGGGGTTCGGGCGTTGAGGGGTTTCAAGGTCTAGGGTTTAGGTACAGGGGTTTAGGGTTTGAGGGTCAGGATTCGGGGTTCAGTGTTTCGGATATATACATACATACGTGCATGCATACATACATATATACATACATGCACGCATGCATGCATGCATGCATGCATGCATGCATATATATATATATATATATATATATATATTTATTTATATATATATATGTATATGCATTTGCATCGGCTTAAGATTTTTTCAATGCTTGGGGCTTTTCAGGCGTGTCGTTTGCTTTAAGGGGTCCGCTCTCCTGGCTGCCAGCGAGAAAGCGTGGCATTGCGCTGCCGCCGCGACATCCTCGAAAACATTGCTCACTTGACACCCCCCCCTCCCCCCGCACATCAGTGTGCTCACTGCATGGGGCCTTAGCCCTAAACCTTAAACCCTGAACCCTAAGCCCTAAGCCCTAAGCCCTAAGCCCTAAGCCCTAAGCCCTAAACCCTAAACCCTATACCTAAACCCTAAAGTTGAGTTTGCCGATGTTGTGGAGTCGTGGAGTCGCGGCTGGACAGCCGTGGCGGCGGAAAGGCTGTGGCGTCCGAAAGGTTTCTGAGCCTGAGGCGCTTTTGCGTGGTGTCCCAGTGGTGCCCTTTTGGGGGTTTAGGGTTTAGGGTTTAGGGTTTAGGGTTTAGGGTTTAGGGTAGCCCAGTGGTGCCCTTTATCCTTTTTTTTTGATTCTGGGTTCCCTTGTAAAGTAACCAGACAACAAAAGGGTACCCTTATCATGATAGGGCGACTGGGCTACTAAGTCTTCATATATGGCAATGACGTGAGTGGGACCTTCCATGCGCAGTGCCTGGAGACATGGCTGAGGCGTTTAGATTCCTAGGGTTTAGGGTGTCCTTGAGGCTTGAGTTATTTGGGCTTGGGTTTGAGACTTTGAGGTTTCAAAGGTGTAAAGGTTTCAGGTGTAAGCTTAGCGCTATCTAGAGAGCCCAGCACCCCTTAATGAAGCAATATAGCCTAACTCATAACTCCCCATAAGTGTAAGGTATGCCTAGGTCACGGTTCAGCAAGGGTGTAGGGGATGTGTGCTTAGGTTCTTGGGTCTAGGGTCAAACCTGAACTCTGAAACCCCAAGCCGCGCTTCAATCGCAACAGTGAGTCTAAAAGCTCAGGGGTGAGCCCTAAACCCCAAACCCTAAACCTGAACCCTAAACCCTAAGCCCTAAACCCTAAACCCTAAACCCTAAGCCCTAAACCCTAAGCCCTAAACTCCGCAAACTCCCTAAACGTTCAAGGGTTGCAGGTTTCAAGGGTTTGGCGGAGAAGGGTCCTGGCAATTCAGCAGCTGTAGGCTTCGGCCCGAAGCCCCTGAACTCCGAAACCCCAAGATCTTGAGCCCTAAAACTTTTGTTTTGAGGGTTTTAGGGCTTTAGGGCTTTAGGGTTTCAGGGTTTTAGGGTTTTAGGGCTTTGGGGTTTGGGTTTTAGGGTTTTAGGGTTTTAGGGTCAGGAGGTTTTAGGGTTTTAGGGTTTTAGGGTTTTAGGGTTTTAGGGTTTTAGGGTTTTAGGGTTTTAGGGTTTTAGGGTAGTTTAGGGAGTTTGGGTTTGGGGTTCAGGCTTTTCGGGGTTTAGGGTTTAGGGTTTACGGCGTGCTCGCAGGCGGCGACGGAGCAGGAGCAGCAGAAGGCGGCGCATGCCGCCATGCAGGCCCAGGCGAGGAGTTTGCATTTAAGGCTTTTACAGGGGCATTGAACAAGGGGTTTAGGGTATAGGCTTTAGGGTTTAGGGTTTCGGGCGAGGAGTTTGTTCAAGGTTCAGTACTTGCTTGGCCAATAGTTGAACTTTAAGCTTTTTGGGTTTTCTTATTTAGAATGAATAATAGAGTGTAACATTTTTTCCCTTGGTTATTGGAGAAGTAAGTATAGGGGCCTTAATAGTTAAAATAAGGTTTCGAGGGATATTATAGAGAAGTTGTAAGGGAACCACAAGGGAATAAGGGAGTACCATTAGAAATTATTCCGACCCCCTGTATTTTGGGGTTCTGGGGTTTTGGGGTTGAGGGTTTTGGGGTTAGTGTTTTAGGATCTAGGGTTCAAGGTTTAGCGTCTTGGGGTTTAGGTTTTAAGACAGCTTGGTTTTGTTGTTTGGGGTTGTACTTTTTTGGGTTTAGGGTTCAAGGTTTAGATGCTTAGGGTTTAGGTGTGATTTTGGGTGAGGGTTTCGGCATTCTGGGGTTAGTTCGGGCACAAGGTTTAGGATTGTTGGGGTTCGGGGTTTAGGATTTTTTGGGCTTAGGTTTCAGGCTTTGAAATTTTGGGGGTTTAGGGTTCAAGGTTTGTTTTTAGGGTTCAGGGTTCCTGGGGTGTAGGGTTTTTTAGGCTTGGGATGTCGGGCTTGGGAAGTGCTGTGGGGCTTGAGAGTTTAAGGCTCGGACTTAGGCTTTTCAGGTTCTGGGGTGTAGGGTTGCTGTGTCTAAGGTCTCAAGGTTTAGGATGTTTAGGGCTTGGGGCTGAGGGGGTCCCGCTGTAGGGTTTTTAAGGGCTCAGGGCTCGAAGCATTCGAGTCTTCGTTTCCCCCCCTTTGGGGGACCCTAGGATGCTACACCCGAACCATAAAGCGTCTTCAGGGTGCTTGTGAGTCTGCACGGCTGGAAACTCGAGATGCCTGGGGGTTTGGGAGGGCGCAGGGCTTGCAGACCCCCAAAAGGGCCTAGGGCTGAGGGTCCGAACCCCTCTCATCCCCTCACCTCCCAACACGATTCTTAGTTAAGTGTAAGAAGCCAAACGCCTGTGAGCCCTGCATACTCATGAAGAACCCTCTAGGGATGTGAGCTCCTACCCTTCAGGCCCTACTCAGTACCGCTTAAGGGTTCCCACAAAGTCCAAAACCTGGCACCCTAGAACCCCTTGACCTCGGGGGCCCTTTCAACCTGCATTTGCAATTCCGGCGGTGCAATTTCTGAAGCATTCCAGCCGTAGAAGGTGAACCCGGAGAAGGAAAGAGTGGGAAAACAGACCCCAACCCCCCCCAGAAAAGTCCTGAAGCCCTCAAACATCCCCAAGCTCCATCCCAAAGCCCTAAACCCGAAGCATCTCTACACCCCAAACCCTAAACCCTAAACCCTAAACCCTAAACCCCAAACCCCAAACCCTGAAATGTTGGGGGAGGCTTTCAAGGTGAGAGCCTCAGCCTCTACCTCAGCCCCAAGTCCTAAGCCCTACAGACCCAGAACCCCCCCCCTCCCCACCCAAACTCAAGCCGAAGCCCTGAACCCTAGAACCCTAAACCCTGAACCCTAAACCCTAAACCCTAAACCCTAAACCCTCAACATGGCTTTGAGCCCGGGACCCTGGCTGCGGCCCTGCGTCCGCGGCTTCAGCCGCGTGCGGGCGCCCGTCCACCTGGCGGACTTCCACAAGCGCCTCTAAGGGGTTTAGGGTTTAGGGTTTAGGGTTTTGGGCTTAGGGTTTAGGGTTTAGGGTTTAGGGATTTTCGAGGTTTTGGCTTTTTATTGGGGTTTCTTGGGGCTTTCTTTCTTAGGGCTTTTGAGGCTTTTAGGGCTTTTAGGCTTTTAGGGTTCCGGGATTCTAGGGTTTTGGGGTTGTTAGGGCTTCTAGGGTTGTTAGGGCGTTAGGTTTTTTTATAGGCCTTTTGGGGCTTTTGGGGGTTTAAGCCCTAAACCTCTAAACCCTAAACCCTAGAACTCTAAGTCCTAAACCCTAAACCCTAGAACCTCAGAACCCTAGAACCCAGAACCCTAGAACCCTAAACCCTAGAACCCTAAACTCGAAACCCTAGAACCCTAGATCCCTAGAACCCTAGAACCCTGAACCTGTAGGGAATGAGGGAACGAGGGCCGGATATATACCCTTTCAGGGATCAGATGGTACCTCTCAACCTTAAACCCTAAACCCTAACCCTAAAACCTAAACCCTAAACTCCAGACCTACCCTAATCCCTAAACCCTAAACCCCAAACCCTAAACCCTAAACCCCAAACCCTAAACCCCAAACCCTAAACCCCAAACCCTAAACCCTAAACCCTAAACCCTTTCCAGAACCACCCCGGCCGAGGCCCCTTCTGGCGGCCTGTAGTGTGCGGCCGCTGCCCACGGCCGAGGCGTCCACGCTGCAGTGGCCGAGCACGCTCAAGGCTCTTACGGGAGATCTGGAAGGGGTGTTACCCCAAACCCTAAACCCTGAACCTGAACCCTGAACCCTGAACCCTGAACCCTGAACCCTAAACCCTAAACCCTAACCTCTAAGCCCTACACCCTACACCCTAAACCCTAGTCCTGAACCCTAATCCTGAACCCCGACGGGCCCCCATACCTCAGCCCTAAACCCAGAAGGCCCCTTGAAAGAATGTGAAGTTCATTCTCATGATGGTGACGTGGTTGGGAGGGGGGGGTGCATCAAACAACGAGCATTACAGCAAGGAGCTGCGCGTCCTGTCTGGCACACCCGAAGCCCTTAGACCCTAGAACCAACACCAGCCTTAAACTCTCCAACTAAACCCTAAACCCTAAACCCTAAACCCTAAACCCTAAACCCTAAACCCTAAACCCTAAACCCTAAACCCTAAACCCTAAACCCTAAAGCCTCAACCCTAAACCCTAAACCCTAAACCCTGAACCCTAAACCCTAAACCCTAAACCCTAAACCCTAAACCCTAAACCCTAAACCCTAACAACCCTACCCAGTAGAAGCACGAGGTGCTGGGTATTTAGGGCTGGGGTCATGGTGTGAGCCGCCTTGCCGCCTTGCGAATCAGAAAAGGTAGTGCAGGAACCAGAAGGGTTTAGAGTTTTAGGGCTTAGGGCTTATAAAGCCTTTGCCCCTTGAGAAGCGGCTCTAGACTGAAAACCTCAACTTTGGACTGCCCAAACCCCTCTTCGGAGCTGGCCGTTCCCAGGTCGGCCCTGGCGAGGGAGAGTTCGTATTTTAGGGTTTTAGGGACGGTTTAGAGGGCCCACCAAGCTCCCTTGAGTCTTCTGAGACGCAGGATTGGACCTCTCTGCGATCGCAGGCGGAGGTGTGCTCGGGTGCTTGGGGGGTTTTTGCTCCGACTTGGGTTGAGGGCTTGGGCTTCATGACCCGAGTCATGGTGCGCATGACTTCTAGGTATAGTTGTCCCTGAACCTGCAAGTAGAGGCTTCAGAGGTCCCCGGCAACAAAAATCGGGGTTACCGCGCCTGCTTGGGGGGTAGGATTTTTATGTTGGGTAGCTTGGTTGAATGCTTAGCGGCTTAGCCCTGAAGCAACACCTGCAGCATCGTGGCTTGGCGCCAGATTCCTTTAGCCCAGTGCATCCTGTGGCTTGCTTCTGTGTTGCTCGATGCTCTGTGTTCGGATGCTCTCGGGAGAAGAGTTGGCGAAAGTGCCGCTGAAGGATGAGTTGTGCGATGTGAAGAGGTTGAAGCAGCACTTACACCAGCAGCATGGCTTCCCCCGACGCTTCTCACAAAGGCTACTTCTCCGTGGCCAGATCCTGGATGATGCCACGAAGTTAGACGTCCCTGTAGACCTGGAGCTGGTATTGCTCTCATATTCCGCATTCCCACAGACGGAGAAGCTGCTTTCAGCCGCATACCTCGGCTCGGTGGCTGAGGACGGGGCCCGTACTGTGCAGATGATAGGCGGTTCTAACAAAGCCGTAGATTCAGGATGTTGGGGGTTTTAGATGGTTTTGGGTTTGGAATGCCCGCAGGTTGAGTCTGTGCTGCAGCATCCCACCAACCCGGACGTGGCCGCGGGCAATGGTGTCACGGCCTTGTTATGCGCATCTCTCAACGGCAAGGTTAAGGTCGTTCGTTTGTTGCTTGAAGCCGGTGCTCACATCGACCTGGCCAGCAGCAATGGGTTCACAGCTCTGCAAGGGGCCTCTGCCAATGGCCACGCTGAGGTCGTGGGTGTGTTGCTTGAAGCCGGTGCTCACATCGACTTGGCCAGCAACCGCAGTAACACGGCTTTGTTATGGGCATCTCAAGAAGGCCACATTGAGGTGGTTCGTCTGTTGCTTGAAGCCGGTGCTCACATCGACTTGGCCAGCAGCAATGGGTTCACAGCTCTGCAAGGGGCCTCTGCCAATGGCCACGCTGAGGTCGTGGGTGTGTTGCTTGAAGCCGGTGCCCACATCGACTTGGCCAGCAACCGCAGTAAGACGGCTTTGTTATTGGCATCTCAAGAAGGCCACATGGAGGTTGCTCGTCTGTTGCTTGAAGCCGGTGCTCACATCGACTTGGCCAGCAGCAATGGGTTCACAGCTCTGCAAGGGGCCTCTGCCAATGGCCACGCTGAGGTCGTGGGTGTGTTGCTTGAAGCCGGTGCTCACATCGACTTGGCCAGCAACCGAGGTAACACGGCTTTGATATTGGCATCTCAAGAAGGCCGCATTGAGGTCGTTCGTTTGTTGCTTGAGGCTGGTGCTCACGTCGACTTGGCCGACAGCAATGGGTCCACAGCTTTGCAAGGGGCCTCTGCCAATGGCCACGCTGAGGTCGTGGGTGTGTTGCTTGAAACCGGTGCTCACATCGACTTGGCCAGCAACCGCGGTAACACGGCTTTGTTATTGGCATCTCAAGAAGGCCACATTGAGGTCGTTCGTCTGTTGCTTGAGGCTGGTGCTCACGTCGACTTGGCCGACAGCCATGGGTCCACAGCTCTGCAAAGGGCCTCTGCCAATGGCCACGCTGAGGTCGTGGGTGTGTTGCT